TTTAGAGGTTAAGCGTTCGCGCATGAGATCGATAAGTCTTGGGTTTGAATCTCGCAGGGCGTGATCGTGAATGTGCACTTCTGAGGAGTCGCACAATGAAACGAAACGAACGTTCACTGTTTCCAGGCTTTCAATGGTGGTCTAGCTTCAATTGACTCAGGATTTTAACTATAAAATTACTAGAAATCTCCACAAAACCCAACTGATAATGATCACATGCTCACTAGTGACTGGCTCCATGAGGTAATTCCTGAAGTTCTTGTGAGAAGTCGTGACCTTGGGAGCTAATCCAGGTATCTACCTCAAGACAATGAAAGTTGGTCATGAGAATTCGTGGATTGGTTGGAGTTAAACATAAACACCATCGGATACCGGCTCAGTGGTCTATAGGTCAAGTGCTCTGGCGTGAGACTGGTAGGTCTTGGGTTTGAATCTCACAAGGCGGGATCGTGGATGCACATTGCTGAGAAGTCCCACAATGGGAAGAATCGATCTTCCACTGTTTTCAGGTTTCCTATGGTGATCTAGCTTCAATGGACTCATGATCTCAACCATTAAAAATTCCAATCAAATTTGTTAAAAATTTAGTTGAAGTTTGTATTGAGATAATATTAGCGTTTAAATTCGTAGATACGATTACATTCAGTTTTACTCATTTTATAATCTTAGTAGCTTAGCTTAAAATAAATTATGCTTTTACTGAGTTATAAAGTATGTCATTCAGGGTTATCACACACAGTTAGTTAGCTTATAAAGTTTAAATAAAACAATAACGACGTGATTGCAGAATATAGTGAATCATTCTTTTTTTTCAAATAGTGTAGTTCATGAGTTGATCTAAGCTAGACCCCCAATGAAAACCTGGAAACATTGGATGATTGTTTCGTCCTAGTATGAGACTCCTCAACAGTGAGCACACACTATTTCGGATGTGGACTCGAACCTTGAACATTCCGTCTCTCCCGCGTACACTTAACTTCTAGGCCAATGAGCTGGCTGGTAGTCAACGGTTTTATTGTCTAACTTTAATGAATCTTTGATCTTGCGTAACCCTTTATCCATTGTCTGGAATGGATAAGTGTCTCCACCCGACATGAATTTGATTGCATTGGTCACGGCTTCTCACTAGAACTTCAGGAAATACCTAATGAAGTTAATCATTAGTGAGCATGTGATTATTATCATATTGTATTTTATTGTTTTCTCTACAAACAACTATAAGCTAAGTTTGATTAATTTGTATAGTTAAGTTCATATTTGGAAAATAATAACTTCTTCAACAATATATAATAAACAGAGATGAATATCGAGGCTAACATCTGAATAATGTACATTCATTTCACTGAATGTAACGAGCAACAACAATATCTCTGATTGTGGCTTTGTAAGTTGTACAATGAAGGGTTGCACATTTTTCAGAAACCTACTTGGATAGGTGATGCAAATAATAGCCATAATGATGTATTAAAATGAACAAAAGACAGATAACATGTTGAAATATCTTAATGACAAGAACAGGTAGCCCAGATGTCTCACGCAAGAACCCAGTTCAGATAAATAATTTAGAATTCGAAAGATTTTGTTTGTTTCACTCTACAAAACTTTTCAATCAATTATCACTTTTATCTCAGAAAAAAAGTCATATTTACTAACATAAATGAATTTCTTATAGTTTAATTGATGATTATATAGTTGAAATCATGAGTTCATTGAAGCTAGACAACCATGAAAAACTTGGAAGCACTGGACGACCGTTTTGCCCTATTGTGGAACTCTTTAGTAGTGCTCATCCATTATCCCATGATCCACAAAAAACCTCTTATGATATTATTATTATTCTTTAACAATCAATGCAACAAAATATAATATATTTCATTTATAACAATAGGAACATAAAAAGGAAAACAGTGAACGAGTAAAACATGATTTTTTTTTCAATAGATCACCAATTTAAGACTATTTTTATACCGTTTAAAATTCTACAATTTTCCTTTTATCCTCCCCCCCCCATTTCCACAAAACATAATTGAAAATTGTCGTTATTGTTTAAATATAAAATTTTATTCTCTGTAGAGATTAAAAAAAAAAAGTTACATTGACTATTATAGATGATATTTTCTTATTTAGATTTAATCACTCTAAAGGAAGATTAAATTACATAGGGTTTTCATCAGTCATATGATGATTAGATGGATTGTTGTTTGTTTGTTTCCTTTTTTTCGCTCTAATAATCACGATAACTTAATTCTTTCGGTATTGTTTACTTAAATCTTCTCATTGATTGTGAATAAAGACAATATCAAAGGCAATACAAAAAGTATGCACAAACAAGTGGCTATCAAGTCTTAGTAGATAAGTAGATAACGTGATAGCGTTTGAGGAGACCAATTCAAGATTTCAGTCGAAAAGTGAACATCAACTCTGAGATGCAGATACATCCAATTAACGAAACACGCATCCTGGATTTCATTGTTAGCCACTATTCATCATTGCTTAGAATACTTGTGAAGTAATGAAAGCTACATCGAGGCAATACACACAGTATGCACATATGTTAATAGGAGGACTGATCAATTGCAGTACTAAACATAAATAAAAAGATTCAAGTAAACAATACCAAGTGAATTTAAACTTCAACCCGTTGCACAAGCAAGTGTCTATCATGAATCAGTAACTAATTACATAATGCGATGGAGTTTGAAGAGAACGATGCTTGGTTCGAGTCCCAGGGTGATAATCAACTCTGATATGCAAGTATACCCAGTTAACGAGTCCGAAATGGGACGAAACATCCGTCATTTATTCCACTGCTAGTCACTATCCATGTTTTTTTTATAAACACGATAACTGTTTTAAATAACATTTGATCTGATAATTATTAAAATATAATTAGTATTTAAAATTTATATTTCACTAACGAAACATTTACATAATCAACTGATGTGGATATCACTCATAAAAAGAATATTTTGTTTGTTTGTTTTATCAAATGGACAATTTAATAAGGTGCATTTAATATGTAACTGAAAATTATTAATTAGAAGGGGTTTTTGTGGATATTTCAGTATTTTCATAGTTGAAATCATTAGTCAATTGAAGCTAGACCGCCAGGGAAAACCTTGAAGCACTGGTGAACGGTGGTGAACACCGTTCGATGCCGGCTCAGTAGTCTATCGGTTAAATGCTCTGGCGCGAGGCTAGTACGCCCTGGGTTCGAATCTCGCGACCGCAGGATCATGGATGCGCATTGATAGTGAGTGCCATAATAGGACGAGTTGGCCGTTCAGTGCCTCCAGGTTCTCCATGGTGGTCTAGCTTCAATTGACTCATGATTTCAACTATGGAAATTATTAGCTGAAAATGAATTTACTTGTTATTCATTACAAATATAGTGACAATGACCATTTTATTGTCTGACAAAACATTATAAATATAACTACAAGATATAATACTTTACTGATAAATATGTCATCACAAAACAATGCAGTCTACCGAACCATACTGTAATCATTTAGAACTGTTTTTGAATAATTGTTTAGGTCAACAACCTATCAATAATACTACTAATAGATGTTTATTTTTGGTATTGTTAAGTTTGACTAGTCACTACTTTTGAAATGAAAGCATGGGGTTCAAGTCTCAATATGAATATAAACTTTAGGATGGAGATTCTTTCACCAAAAGAGTCACAAGCCTAACGTCCTAAACTTCACTATTAGCCATATTCTATTTATTCAATAGAAAGTTGTGAAATAATGGTTATATCGATACAATTCGCATACAATGCACATATTTCAACTAAGATAGTAAATTATGATTTTTCTACTTTAAACAAATTATACTTTCTAAAATTTGCGTAAAACTTCAGTTTCAAAATCTCATTTACAAATTACACTGTAAAATCTCATACTGATCAGTTTTGTTTTGAATTGAATATATATAACAAAAGTACAGAAATCATTTATAAGCATAAATGGATGTTGGCCAGCAATGGAATCCTCGACGTGTGTTTTGTCCTATTTTGAACTCGTTATGTGGATATATTTGAATTTCAGAGTTGATATTCACTCTGGGAGTTAAACACTGTACCGTTCTCTTCAGACACCATCGCGTTATTCACTTAGATACTGAGTCCTAATATGTGTTTTGAAATAAACATTATTGATAAATCCTTTAGATGTATGAAAATTATGATTAAAAAAACTTTTATTAGTAACATTTTGTGTACGTACCTGTGTGTTTGTATTATTATTCATTTATTTGAACACATAAATATTGGTACAAAAAGGCACCAGATATATATGCGCCACACAAATCTCATTTGATTTGTGTGAGGTGCCCAAACTGAAGCAAGTGATTTTCTTAGCAGGCCACACTCGGAGCCTTTGACCTAAAAGTCTAACTCACAAGGCAGTGGATCATCGTAAGAAGATGCAGTCCCATGGAAGCCAGTAACCAACGATTGATTCATACTCCATTTGTTCCTTCAGGATACTGGAGTCCATGCGCACCATTGGTTTGAAATCAGGGTTTCCAACTCCCCTAGGTGAACTTTCCGTGTCCACCAATCCGGTTAAAGCGCCGGACATTCGCTTTTCGTCCTCTCAATTTCGTAAACGACAGTAGTGCCACAAGAAGGCATTGAATAGGACTTCCCTGACAGAGGCTGTATGCAGGTGGTCATATGAGAGTATTTAGAGAGGGAGAGTGGACTCTCCTCTTTCTCAGCCATACCAGGGCATTTGGAGGCGTGTGTGTAAATAATTATGTGTGCGTTAAGAATATAAACAAATGCCAAAACGTAATAAACTCATATAATGTGTGAAGATGATATTCATCATAGATTGACATCGCTATAAAAACATATCTCTTCAATGTGTTCCATAAAGTTTCATAAAGTAGAAGAATACCTCTTAATTTTATTTATGGTAAAGTATTCTAAGAAATTGATTATTTATTGGTATTTACATCATTATTATCATTATTGTTATTTTGTTAAGAATTTACAAAGACATGAAAGTTGGCAAAGTTTAGAATTGGATACAGTACCTTCATCATCAGGAACAGGAGATGTAGAATCATTGTCGAATAAAACAGTCATAACTACAACTCTAACAGCAACAACAACAACAACGACAACAGCAACATCAACCATGACAAATGAAAACAATACAGAAATAATAATTAGTAAACAAGACGGACAAGATAATGAACAAATAGATTTGGCAAGTAGACGTGGTCGAAGATCAGCTATAATTGACAAAAAAGTAAGTTGACTAAAATTGTACAATAGTTTTATTTCTATCTTAGCTTACAAATGACAGATGGACAGTAAATTGATCATAATGATTTTGAGAAATATTGGATTGAATAAAAGATTTTATGTAAAATATGCTATGGATTTATGGGCGAAATTGTGGTGTGGGCTACTTATATCCACATAAGTAGTATTTGACGATGGTCAGGCAGAGAATGTATTTCACTAGAAGATCGATAAGAAAAGAACGGAGACGAAACGTAATCGGTATGAAAATGCTTGAACAATAATAATCGGTGCTTATGAACTGATATTTCCAGAAGGAATGGTCAAGATTGAGACAATTGATTGATCTTTTGCAAATTACCAGTTTACTGTATGGTTGTCAGATTTTAGTGAGATTATGCGCCCACTCATCTTCTTGTTCACTACAAAATGACGTCTATTTCTGTGTGTACAGTAATCTTGACTTGAGATAAGTAAAATCATTTAGTTAATAGGTGGTGTTTGCTACAGATATCTACAGATATAAGTAGCATGTACCATCAATCAAAAGTGAAATGAATGATGACAGAAGGTTAAGAAGATCAAAGAAAGAAGAACGAGAAGAAAGAATGATTTTCGTGATTGAAATATCCGAATTCGGGGTACGATTTCCTATAAAAGCACAAATATAGTGTTTACTCTTTTTTAGGATTATGAAATCAGGTCATCCAGCAGTTACATAGATCATTTTGAATATCACATTTTAATTTGCAAAGGATAACAGTTACCCTATCACTCAAATGTTGAGCTATGTATAAAATTGATGAAAATTACTAACAATACAAACGAATATCGCAACAAAATGTGAAGCCGTGACCAGTGAATATCAATCCGTGCCGAATGTGAGGCAGTTATTCAACTCAGACAATAAAGGATGATCACGCGATTGGTTGAAGTTAAGTATTAACACAGTTAGATGCCAGCTCTATGGTCTAGATATTAAGTGTTAAATCGCGAGAGCGGAGTTCATAGATTTGAGTCCAGCATCTGGAATCGTGGATGCTCACTGCCGAGGAGTCTCATACTATGACGAAACGGTCGTCTTGTATTTCCAAGTTTTCAATGATGATCTAACATCAATCTGTTCATGGATTTCAATCAAAAACTCAATCTTCCCAACCCTATACTAATAAATATGTATTAAATTTCAAATCTAGTTTAGTCAACCTAACTGAAAAAAATGATTCATACATGTTAAATTGTTTTCTTTTACATTTTTAAAACTTTACCCTACACTTAAAAACCAAAAAAAAAATCATACTTCAATATTTGGTTGATCATTTTTATTTTTGGGTTTCCACAGTTATTTTTTCTTATCCTTAAAAAACTATTTTAAAAAATATTTTTATTTTTTAATGCATATTTTATCCGGTCCTTCTCCCGCCAATTTTTTTTCACCTTAAATGACCTAAAAATAAAAAATAAAAATTGAGAGGAAAAGAAAAAGAAATAAAACCTAGAAAAAGAAAAATAATAATAATAGTAATAATATTATCCTTGATATAATTGTCGTTTATTGTTAACAGTAACAAGAAAATCTGATGTTTTTGTATAGGTAAAACATAATAATAATAATAATAGTAATAACAGTAATAGTAATAATAATACTATGGCAATAATAGTAATAGTAGTGATAATAATAGTGATGACGGTAATGGTAGTAATAATAATAATAATAATAATAGTAATAACAGTACTATGGTAATAACAATAATAATAATAGTAGGAATAATACTAATGGTAATAATAATAGCAATAATAATAGTAATAATAGTATTAATAATAATCGTAATATTAATAGTAATATTAGTAATAATACTAATAGTAATAATAGTAATAATAATAATATGGTGTTTATAACTGAATGAGTTCAGCTAATGGAATTGTGTTTTATTTCTTTTAAAATAAAATAATAATGTATTAATTTGTTTTATAAATTTTAGTCAATTATATTAACTTTCAATTAAATGATGATTTAAAAAAGGAGGTGAGCAGTAGAAACAAATAGATAACTCACAATGAATAACTCTTGGTATAATGTTACTTTCTATTCATATATATGTCAGTATAAAGTTGTGGAGATTGTTATGTTTAAATTAGTATCATGAATGAATCAATGTTAGATCACCATTGAAAACCTAAAATCATTGAATGGTCGTTTCGTTCTAGTATGAGACTTATCAGCAGCATGTATCCATGATCCCCCTTACAGGATTCGAACCGAGGACAAAACGGATGTTCAATGCTTCCGAGTTTTCAATGAGAGTTTAACATCGATCCATTTATGATATCAATCTAAACTCCAATACACATGTGTCATTACAATTAAGACTATTCATAAGTAATTATTCTTATTATCAGAAGGGGTTTTATGGATATTATAGCAATTTGTTTTAATAGTTGAGATCGTATAAAAATATCACTATAATATCCACAAAACCCCTTCTGATAAAAATCAATATATGCTCACTAGTGACTGACTTCAAGAAGTATTTCCTGGAGTTCTAGTGAGAAGCAGTAACCAGTAGAGTTCAATCAGGTCTGTTGTAAGATAGTAACTCACTGAAGACATTGGTGGATGTTTCGCTCAATTTTGGTGGATCGGTTGAAGTTAGAAATGAACACCGTTTTATGCTGAACAGCTCAGTAGTCTAGAGTTTAAGCGCTCGTGCGCGAAACTGGTAGATCCTTAGTTTTAATCTCTCAAAGCGATATCTTGTATGCGCACTGCTGAAGAGTCCTACAATAGGACGAGTTGGCCATTCCGTACTTCCAGGTTTTCCATGGTGGTCTAGCTTCAATTGATTCATAATTTCAACTATTAAAAAAAGTAATTATTCTTAGTTTAATATAAAAAAAATAATCTGCAAACCATTTGATAATGTAACTGAAGTAAATATAAACGATCATATTATTATTTACATTTGAATGTCTATAAAAATATAATTATCTATATAAAAATGAAATGATACATTAAACAGAATCAATGATTTAAAGTATTCACTTTTATGCGATATAGCTTACAATTGATAATCCTGGTTTATTATGATAATGAGGAGAGTATAATCGTAACATAATGTTGAATTTCAATTAAACATCTGTAGTGCCGTGCTTCGTTTATCGTTCACACCTTCACAACCGTTATAATACCAATCTTAACGGTGCATAAAATCAGAAGGCATAGAAAAGCGACAATTACAGTTTTATTGACAAATGACGCATGTCAAAAAGTTATAAGCAAATGAGAATATATCAGTGAGCGAAGCATAAATGACACGCATTGGAGATGGCGGGTAAGCCAATTCACTTTCATCAAGTGTTAGTCAATATTATTAGTCAGATTAGAATAAGTTACAGACATGTAACGAATAAGATAAAAAATGTACTCACATATGCTCATATAAAAACAGTCAGGGTTAATAAGTGAATTAATTAACGAGATCAAAACAGGACTCAAGATGGATAGGTAAATTGGCTTGTTCGGAAGCTAGAATAAAGTATACGACCTTAACATATTAACCGACACTACACATCTATTTAATGTTACATATGTATGTCAATAAGTTTCCAGATTATGTCAACTTTCAAAGAAGATTTTTTGTAAACTCAGTTCCAAAATATTAACTTGAATTAAAGTTTCCTTTCAAATCTAAATCATTTAATCAATATTTAGCCTCACTACGCAACTATCAATTTCTTTATGGTTAACGAAGAGACTAGTTAAACATTCGAATAGAAAAATCTAAGACTATTTCATAATTCTAGAGAACATAACAATTCCAGGAGGTAAGAGGAGACAAGGTTAATAATAATAATAATAAAGATAATGTGAAAACAACTTGAAACTTAATCACTCTGAATAATAAGTCAATATTACCAGGGTAGATTTAAAGTTAGAACAAACTATTTTTCAATACATAAAAGGGGGTTTGGATATTCGTATATATAAAGCATCAATAAACCCTAGTATACGCCCTTTTACACTTTTCTACAACGCATAGTTCTGATAATCTTCATCTTCGTATTACACTATCGAAATTTACCAAAGGGATTATTTGCTTCAAATTTCAGTAGGATTATATAAGTTTGTTCTTAATAAACGATTATAATAAAAGAGCCTTATTTTTTATTTCTATGGTGAAATGTTAAACAAAATGCTTTATATTGGTGTACTTGAATTTGATAACACAGTTTCCAAGTCATTTATATACTTATATGGTTATTGGTCACTAATATAGATAATAGTCACAATTGATTAATCACTGGGTAGTGATCAATGTCATGTGTGTCAAGTCCTTCTTAGTGCAGATCGATTGCTATCAATCAGGAGGTCGATCGCAGCCCGGATAGCTCAGTGGTAACGTCTGTGACTCTGAAGCTGAGTGACACGGGATCGAATCTGTCAGGGAGCACCAGTTCCCATAAGATTACAGGCACACCTTGCTGACGAGTGCCAAGTAGTACGAAACAAGGGTCCACGGTTTCCTGTTGACCATATGTTTAGATCGCTGATAATATGTAACAAAGATGATTAAAATTTACGACAATTCATTGAATCGGCTACTCTTCTTCCAATCAAACTGTACTGAATTAGAACACGAGCGGGGACAATTGAATGTGTTTGACACGAAAATTACAGTCTATCTTAGTAAAATCTAACAATCATACAGTAAACAGTTAATTTGCAAACTTTCAATCAATTGTCTCAATCTTGACCATTCCTTCTGCAAATATCAGTTCATAGTCTTCGATTATTATTGTTCATGCATTTTCATACCAATGACGTTTCGTTTTCGTTCTTTTCTTATCGATCCTCCACTGAAACACATTCAATACTCGACCATCGTCAAATACTACTTGTGTGGATATAAGTAGCCCACACCACAAACTAATTGAATTCAGAAGTAATCTAAATGTAAAAAAACTTAATAAATGAAGATATTAATTTACTACATTATAATCCTAGCCTTTTTTTGTTGTTAGCTACGAATTATATCCAGATATTTTCCTTTAATAATAAGAGGCCATTTGTAAAATTAAATTATTATTTGACAATTAATTAAACGGGGCTATAACAACTTTCCTATAATTTTCACAGTTGAAATCATGAGTCAATTGAAGCTAGACCACCATGGAAAACTTGGAAGCACTGGACGGCCGTTTCGTCCTATTATGGGACTCCAGTGCTTCCAGGTTTTCCATAATGGTCTAGCTTTAATCGACTCATCATCTTAACTATATAAAATCTCCTATAATTAATTTTGTTTACGGTTAATTTTTGGTCAAATCATTTAATTAACTTATTGGATAGACAGTGTTATATGAACAGTCATACTAATTTGTCTATTTCTTTGTATTATTATGATCATTATTATGCTTATATAAATGTGTATTCTTGTTTGATCATAGGTGGCAGCCTACGTATATAATCCTTACTCTACTTTAAATGTTACTATAATATAGCTCGTTGAACCATTCTCTTTTCTATATGCTTAAATCTTATTTATTGCTTTTGCCTTACTATACATCATGTGATTCTATTTGATTTGATTCTGAATCTGCTGACTGTATTCACTTGCTCGTGAGCATTATTCTCTGTGCTCGAATTCGTTTGATGTGTTGATAACTTTGTTATCTGTTCTATCTAGTAATAAACTGTAGTCACCTCCTTGTATCACCTTCTGTATTCAAACACTGTTGGGGTTTATTTAATAACGGTTATCAGGGTAATTGATAAACGAAACGTAAGGGATTATCTCGAAGCTAATCCACTACATGCCTATGATTATTATTTTTATGAATATTTCTGCTGAAATGGAGACAGACATGAGAAGAACGAATAAAAATTGGATAGAACTAGAAAGGAAGGCTCAGGACAGAGTGAGTTGGAGAATGCTATTCGGTGGCCTATGCTCTATTGAGAGTAACGGGCGTAAGTAAGTAAGTAAGTTCTGGTGAAAATTCTAACTAAAATAAAAATTGATTTTGATATTCTTTCTGTTTACTTCACTTTGCTACATTTCTATTTTCTTTAACAGAATTTAATCGGTGAAACAGAAGTTGAAAATCAAGAAACTACAACCATTTCACAAAATGTTAATAAGTAAGTATATTCAATTGAATATATAATGTCAGTTACTATGTTAAGCCCATATAACTTATTTTAGCTTCTGGACAGGCTGATTTATCTATTCTTCTTGAATCACGTTTTCACTTTGTTAGTTATCCTCCTATTCAGCTTTGACTGTTTCTACATAAGCGTATGTGTGCACCCTTTTTATCCTATTCATCACATGTATGTAGCATATTTTACTGTGACTATAAATATTGATTAACGCTTGATTAAATGGATTTGCTTCAATCACCTTCTCCACTGAGCGCATTTTCGCTCTACTATCTTTTCTTCGCTTCGTCTCTCTGATTGTCTGTCCAGATGAGTGAGTGTACAAAATATATGTATTTGAAATCTATTCTCGTATTTGACTTATTTAATTCCGTTATTCCCTAACGCAATTTAAGTCAATAATTTTATACAACAATGTATATTTCAATAACAATCAGTCATACGATATTACCGTAGTCAGATATAGGGCCATAAAAAATATACCTTATCAGCAAATGAAATATATATATATATATATAAATGTTTCATTGAAATAAAGGTTTCTATTAACCCATTTCATTTGGGAAAGTTATTGACTCATTTCTATAACTTTTAGCCTGTGTGCCCTGTTAATGTGTAAAGTGATAATACCGTCAATTAGAGAGCATTGATTTATCGATCGGACCAATGACACAAGAACCCCGTACTAGCAGTCTGGAGCATATTTCTATCCTTCTTCCCGCCTAGCGCATTCTATTAAGTTCAGAACACCAATCTTAGCCTCTGTGGTATGACTCATGTATTTCAAACTTACTGAATTTATATACCAACCAGATAGACCACATCGTACCATAAAATAACAAACAACATTTGTACAACACTTAGCCAAATGTGGTTGTGATTAAGGGAGACAGTAATTGGTAGACAAGGCATAACTCAAAAATAATAAATTGTTTAATAATAGTTCACGGGTCAAAATAAAGCTCATAATAAGAGGGACATGAACATGAAAAGTTAATTTATTTAACAATTATACAATAGGGATATACGCATAGTATTGGTCCATAAATGGATCCCAAACGTTACCGTTCATTATTCATATTGGGATATAACACTCATTTTCTTTTAATATAACCAAAAACAATATGATGAACACATTTTCTGTATTAATCTACATGTAAATGGAAATTATGAAGCGGATATTAATAACGAATAGAATTTTAATGTTGGAACATTTTAAAACGGATTTATCATTCAAATAAATCATATTAATGGATCATATAGAAGTAGTAATAATAATAATAGTAATGCAATCATCATGCACTCTGGAATGCTAGTTGCTAAGCGATTCTTTACTAAGATGAAACAAGTGTCCAATGCATCTAAGTTTTTACTAGCTGTCCTACATAGATCGGTCCGTGAAATTGAACAATATCCATAATCTATTGTTATATTCTGTGGAGAATTATGAATGATAACTTTAAGGACTATTTATGGACCAATATGATATGTATATTTCTTATTGTATTATTGCTAAGTAACTTAACTATTCATTATCATGTTCCTTTTATTATAAGCTTTATTTTGACCCATAGATTATTACTGTACGATTTACCATTCTTGAGTTATCCTCAGTCTATTAATTACTGTCTCCCTTATTCACAGACACATTTGGATAAATCTTGTACAAATATTATTTTCTATTTTATGGAATGATGTGGTCAGTTTGTTTGGTATATAAACCCAGTATTTTTGAGAATAATGATTCATATTGCAGAGGCTGAGATTGGTGTTCTGGACTAAACTGGCTGGATTAGACAAATAGCAGGACTGATAAGTACTCTAGACTGCCCATACGGCTTTTGTGTATCATTAATCTGATCGATAAATCACTCCTCTCTTATTGGCAGAGATCATCACATCATTTATTAAACTGGGTACTCAAGCAATCAATATAACATCTATATTGACAATAATTTTAATAATATACATGAGAAAATTGTTTATACACATATAACATAGGGACTATTCCTTAAAGTGTAACATATCAAGTTGCTAAGTCATTAATTTACCTTCAATAACCAAATTGTTTTCTATATGAAACAGAAGATTTGAATTCGAATAAAGAATAAACGGGAAAAATTACTTTCATTTCAAAAATTGGAAAAAAAAGAAGTAACGAGATAATTGGTGAAGGTTGTAGAGGAGAAAAAAAAAGCGGAAAGATAAGGTTTTTATAAACATTTCTGCATTAAAATTTATCATCTTCCCTGTTGTATTGAATAAACACAGGTGTATGCACCTGGTATTGTATCTATGTAATGGCCAAATGTTGATTGTTGCCAATTTTAGATTATAATCAAAGAATAGTGGTTTAGTGAACGTTCAGTAGATAAGGGTTTATTTTATGAAATCACATTAGACAGAACTAAAAAAAACCAAATGACATTTGTTTAATATTCACTTGGTATTGATTACTTGAATCATATTATTATCTGTGAATTAAGGCTATATCGATACAGTACGCACAGTATGCACATATACCAATAAGAGACTAATCAATTGCACTACTAAACACCCAATTGTAGAAGCAAGTGGCTATAAGGAATCAGTAGCTGAGTAGATAATGAAATAGTGTCTGAAGAGAACAATGCTTGGTTCGAGTTTCATAGTGAAAATCAACTGGTGCTGGTACATCCAGTTAATGAGTCCCGAATAGATTGAAACATGCATCATGGATTCCACTACTAGTCATTAATCATCTTTGCTTATTTGTCAATCATTAAGAAGCTAATCCATTACTTACAATAAAAAATACTTAAATATGCAAGAATAACTAAGTAAAAATAAATAAATTAACATAACATTTATGTATTATGGGTAATACTATTATCGTTTTACATAAAGAGTCATTAAATGGTAAAATTATTTAATTTGGAAGTAGCTCACATTTCCACTTCCATACACAGCATCAATCTGATGATAGAAAGTCAATTATAACTATTGAGGATAAGTTACAATGTGATCAGTCTATTGATATTGACATATCTAATTATCATAATTAATTAATGCACCGTTTATTAAAACAAAATATTATAATGTGTCTAAAAGAACTGAATATCAATTTTCGTAGAAAATTTATGTGAAGTATGTGTGTATGAGCTTTTATTTCATTCATCCCTTAAATATCTTTGGCTTGACCTAGCTGAATAGTGATCTGAGATACAATGATGAACTTACCGAATTGTACTTTCTATATAAATGACACCGAAAGACTAAGCAAACTGATTAATTTACATGGATGTAAAGAATTCAGGCAGCCTTTATTGATAGCATCTAATGTAGGACGATTATAGGAACAGGATACAATATGATTGAGGCAAATTCTTTTTGAGCAGATTTTCTTAATTTTCGAGTTGATATTTCAATGTATTTTCTTCAAGAAGTTTATCATCTTCTTACTTTATTTGTTACTTTTTTAGAAATTTAATTGAAACTGGACAAGAGCGTCCACCACTTACATCATCAGTGAATTCATTTCGTGAACGACAAAAAAGAATCTTACGAAAACAGAATACTATAGCTGATTTAAGTTGTCGAAATCAAATGGCTAATACAAATCAGGATTATGGTAATCTTATTTTGTAATTAGTTTAGTTACTTTAGTTATCGTAATTTGAAAAACTGGAATAATTAACCTATTTGATCAAGCAAATTATGATCAAAGTGTTTTTGTTAAACTCAGTTATAATGTATATTTTTACTTACTAGTATGTAGGTATATGTTTGATCATAAACATTCAATGTTAGAATACAAGTAAATAAATGCATGGGTATATAAGAGACTGTTCATTTGTTTAACGAGCACTGTTGTTTGATTATTTGCGATTGTTATATAATCGAAAGCATGAGTCAATTGAAGTTATACCACCATGAAAAACCTGGAAACACTGGACGGCCAACTACGTTTTACAGTGGGACTCCTCAGGAGTGCGCATCCACGAACCCGCTCTCGCGGGATTCGAACCGAGGACCTACCAGTCTCGAGCCAGAGCCCTTAACCGATAGACCACTGAGCTGGCACCCAATGGTGTTAATGTCTAACTTCAACCAATTCACGATGTTTGAGCAACCATTCACCAATTGTCATCAGTGAGTTCCTATCTCACGACAGACATGGTTTGCAATCCACTGGTCACTGCTTCTCGCTAGAGCTCCTGGATGTACTTCCCGAAGTCACTAGTGAGCATATGATGATATTAATTATCACAAGGGGTTTTGTGGAGACTTAGTATGTTTCATAATTGGAAGCATGAGTCAATTGAAGCTTCCTGGGTTCGAATCTTGCGAGAGCGGTTCGTGGATGCGTACTGCTGAGGAGTCCCATAATGGGACGAAACGGCCGTTCAGTGTTTCCAGGTTTTTCATGGTGGTCTAGCTTCAATTGACTCATGCTTTCAATTATGAAACATACTAAATCTCCACAAAACCCCTTCTGTTATATAATCATTTCCCTCGGTATATTTGATTTCTAATATCAATGCCTTCAAATGTCCTGGTACGGCCGAGAGTGAGGATAGTTAGCTCACCCTCTCGAAATTCTCTCATATGACCACCTGCATACAATCACTGTCAGGGAAGTCCTACGCACTGCGTTCTCTCGGCGAGGGCATTCTTTATGAAGTTGAGAGAACGAGAATTGAATGTCCGGAGCTTTAACCGGGTTGGTGGACACGGAGGGTCCACCTAGAGCAGTTTTTAAACCCTGGTTCTAAACCATTGGTGCACATCCTGAATTAACAAATGGCGTATCAACCTATTGTTGGTCACCGGTTACCATGAGACTGGATGTCTTAACGCTGTTCCATTGCCCTGTAGCTTAGACCTTCAGGTCAACGGCTTGAGGTGTGAACCCCTTGGAAATTCACGTGCTTCGGTATTGGCACCTGGACTGTATCCTAGTTCTCTCACAAGTCGAATGATTTATGTGGCACATGTCAACGAAACATAATCAATCGAACTGTTGATGTATAGAAAAAGTCAAAAAATGTTTGATATAGCAATAGGAAACTGGAATTTACAACTGGAATCTGTATATACCACGACCGAAATAAGAACACGGAGATGATAAATAACGATTTACCATAAATCAAAAATCAATCAGAAATTATAATTGATTAAACTAGTTTTATTTAAGGTCATTCATTCATTCATATACAATAGCATTCCTTTTACTTAAGATTTCATTTGAACTCTCTTGAGTTATTCTTACCTGTCCACTATAAATACGTTAACATAACATAGTCTTCAATATGCCATCTGAAAAATAGAAATATTGTGAGAAAGAAAAAAAAGAAAATGAGATAAAAGTGGACTACCCTATGCACTAAATACAAATAGACGGGGAAATATCCCAAAAGGTCAGAAACCCTGCACTTAATGATCACTGACAAAAAAAACTGGGTAGACAGCCTTAAACTCATACAAATATTCGTCAAGATTACAATGAATAGCTTAGCAAAATTTGGGCACCGAGTATAGATAAGTCATTATATGTTAAAATTATATTTGAAATAATCTTAATGATTGAAATTCAAATAATTCCAACGTTTCGTCCGGCTAACTTGCATGCGCTCTGAAGAAGTCCAGACAAGTTAACTGGACAAAACGTTGGAATTATTTAAATTTCAATCATTAAGATTATTTCAAATATAATTTTCACAAATAAAGTCTCTAGCTTAGATTTTTCATTATTTCTTTATGTTGAAAAAAAGTCTGATTTTTATTCAATTGAAGCTAGACCACCATGGAAAACCTGGAAACACTGGACGGTCAACTCGTTCTATATTGGGACTCCTCAGCAGTGCGCATCCACAAATCCGCACTCGCAAGATTCGAACCCAGGATTTAACAGTCTCATGCCAGAGCACTTAAGCGATAGACCACCGAGCCGATACTAATGTTAATGTCTAACTTCAACCAATTCACGATGTTTGAGCAACCGTTCACCAATTGTCTTCAGTGAGTTGATATCTCTACAACAGACTTGGAAGAACTCCACTGGTCACTGCTTCCCACTAGAATTCAAGGAAACATCCCTTGAAGTCAGTCACTAGTCTAGCTTCAATTGACTCATGATTTCAACTGTGAAAATACTAAAATTTGCACAAAACCCCTTCTGATCTAAAAGTTTGATTTACATAAATGTAACTGAATATTTCTATTCTCTTACCATCACAGTCTTCAATAGAAATTTATCAGGATAATTATTACTTCAACTTAACTAACTATTTACTTATTATTATCATTGTAATCTACTTTTTTTATGGTAGCAATGACATTTCCCTAAACTAATCTTCATTATTATATAAAATTATCTAGAAACATCAACAAAGTAGCATCAATCAACAATTTGAATGTTCCTATGCACTTCTTTGTTTGTTTGTTTTTATGAAAATTTAATAATATGATTTCATAACCTTATAGGGAAGTAGCTTAAATATTATTATCATTACTTTAATAAATATATTCACAATATAAATATCATTTAAATGATAAATATATGTAAAAATGGTGCTAATGTCTAACTGCGACCGGGTCTGTTGTGAGATAGTAACTCAATGAAGACAATAATGTACGGTGGCGCAATTTCGGGGATTAGTGGAAGTTAGAAATTAACACCGTTGCATGACGAACAGCTCAGTGGTCTAGAGATTAAGCGCTCGTGCGCGAGAGTGATACGTCTTGAATTAGAATCTCGCGAGGAAAGATCGTGGATGCACATTGCTGAGGAGTCCCATTATAGGATGAAACGGCCGTCCAGTGCTTCCAGGTTTTCCATGGTGGTCTAGCTTCAATTGACTCATAATTTCAACTATGAAGATTGTTATAAATAAATAATATATTTGTAATATCCTAATGAGTAGAAAAATTAGATTTTCTAAGGTTTCGTTACTAATTGTAAGCCACTTCTTCAGAAAATAAATAACCAATGAAAATCATAAAAAATTTTATATGGTTGAAATCATAAGTCGATTGAAGCTAGATAACCATGGAAAACCTGGAAGTACTGGACAGCCGTTTTGTCCTATTGTGGGACTCCTCAGTGAGATTCGAACCAACAGGAGGGATTGTGGATGCGCACTGCTGAGGAGTCCATCCACTGTTTCCAGATTCGACTTCAAGTAATTCATGAATTCAACTATAATGTGTAAAACTGGTCAATACTGTTTATAAACTAACTGTTCACAGCTTGATATTAAATATTATACTCAGTATGGTAGATATATTTAACATTCCAATGGTTTAATTGAAAGTGTAATCATAATTACCTTATGTAGAATATCATTTATGTTTTCTTATAATTATCCTATGAAACATTCATCCTAATGTTTCTTTAAATTAATTATATTTAGTCACTAGGCTGTTTGATTGATAATGGAATAATTCACAGTAGGATTTTATTTATTATCTTACATCATTATTACCATGGTAAAAATTCCAGATTCCTATTTGGAAAAAAGAATTATAGGGTTCATTTTTGTATTATGTACAATTAACTGTTATCTTTAGTTTGTTAGAAATTAATTATTTAAATTACAATTACTAATTATATGTAACCCAGTTTTTTTCCTAACATTGACTTTAACACTAATTACAGTTAGTTTGTTATGTGTACTACTGATGTTGACAGATATAAGTAGTATGCATCATCAGTGGAAAGTTAAATAACTAGCAGTAGAAGATTAAGAAGAACAAAGAAAAGAGAATGAGAACAGATAATGATTGGTGTGGAAATGAAGGAACAGTGAAGTCTGAGACGATTGATTGATATTTTGCAAATTAAGAATTTACCGTACGGTTCTCAGATTTAATTAAGATGTTCTGTAATGTTGTGTTGAAATACATTCAATTGTCCTCACTTGTGTTTTCTTTCACTACATGTTGAGTAGCTTCTAATTTCCAAACAGATACTATAAAATTAACTTGTCATATTACAATCATCTTGTATTAAAATGTTAGCAGTGCGTATCCACGATCCTGCCTCGTGGTCCGAGTCTCGCTGAGGAGTCCCGCAATAGGACGAAACGGCTGTCCAGTGCTTCCAGGTTATCCATGGTTATCTAGCTTCAATTGACTCATGACCAACGTGGAAAACCTGAAAGCACTAGACGGCCAACTCGACGTATTGTGGGACTCCTTAACAGTGCGCATCCACAATATCGCCTTGCGAGATTCGAACCAAGGACCTACCAGTCTCGCGCTAGTGCACTTAACTGATAGACCACTGAGCCGAATGCGTAGTGCTGAGGAGTGCCAAGATAAAACGAAGTGCTTTCAGGTTTTCCTTGGTGGTCTAGCTTCAATTCACTTACAATTTCAATTATAAAAATACTGAAATCTCCACAAAACCCCTTCTGATTATAACAATCTATCCAATGCTCAATTTATTCAAAATTTTCTTACCTTTTTTTGTTTTCTTTTAGAGTTGAAAAGAAGAGGTAATGTTTTCATGAAACTAGTAAGTTTGTAGAAAAAGAAAACTTATTTATATAATTCAAATTTATTTTCATTAATGATTTTATATACTACTGACATCGGTGACATATCAAGTACTTTGATATGTGGATATGAATTTCAATTTATCAAGATAGGTTACTTGTTTGTGAATTTGTAGGACATCTACTTTTGGATGTTCAATAAATGTGCAATATTTAGCATTTTTCTGTTCATTTCGTCACTGAATCTTAGATATTGAAGCATATTTTCACTAGAGGTGTCATTTTAAATCCTAATTTTTACATGATTCATCCTCTGAATTCGGCAAGTTGAGATGTACCACAGAGTTGTGTTCATTAAAGACATGTTGTCAACTTTAGGTGATTGAAAATTATGCTCTTATATCCTTCAGTCACCTACCAAATAAACGTGAAACTGTTTAAAAATGCTAAATATTGAACTTATACTGATCAACTAGTAAAAGTAGGTTATCCACACACAAGTTAGTTGACTAATGTCTTGATACTATTATTCTACGACACTTATTCTCAGTATAACTGTTTAATTAGTACTACAGTGAACACAACATGACTGGGGAAAGTCTAATGTATGTAGACACAAATTACAGACTACCTCACTAAATTCTAATAACCATACAATAAACAGTTAATTTGAAAAATAACCATCATTTGTCTCAATCTTCACTGTTCCTTCTGTAAATATCAATCCATCTTCTGTAATTTCAATGTTTGTGCTGTTTCCTACCAATTGTGCTTCATTTGAGTTCTTTCCTTATCGGTCTTCTGTCAAAATACATTCTATGTCTAACCATCACCATATACTACTTATGTGGACATAAGTAGACCACACCACAGTACTACATAACAAATGAAAATCATTACACATTTAGGAAAACAATACTACCAATGCAAATATATGGATGCCTTATATCATTGACTTCTATATATATTGTGTGATAGTTTTATTTAGTAAATATCAATATCTGACAGTATATATGTAAACCCTAGTAGACTTTTCGTGATCTGAAATTTACACCTCTTACTTATATACTACTTCATAAGTATTTTTAAATAAATACGTGATTACGATACATTTTGAAAGAAACCAAGAAGAAACATTTGTGCTAAGAATTCTTTTTAAATGATACAATAGTAATGTTAAGTACGTGATTGTAAATGTAATCAAAGTAGTCAATTGTTACCTGGATATAACTTTTCTGAATTCATTTACAAAGACAAATATTCCTTACTGACAAAACAACTTTTCGACAATACTAGATATATAAATACTGGACTATTGAAACTATATGAAGTTATTTTTTCCGTTTCATTATCTTGATATAGATATTTAACATAAAGTGTGAATTGGACAGGAAATCTCTGTTAGATCTTTGTACATGTCACTTAAAATCGTCTAGAGAATCAATCAATAAACTTGATTACATCTATGATAAATATCTGACCATCTATAGATTTCGTTCTTCTGAACGATGAAAGCTACATGAATAAGTCATTCAGCTCACAGAATAAAACTCCGACTAAATCATTTACCTAAGCTACAAATCTTCACCATTATCCATACACTGAAACAAACATTAATTATAGTTGTCTTTTACACAAATGTGATTTCTCAGAAGGGAGTTAATGGAGATTTTAGTAATTTTATAGTTGGAATAATGAGTCAATTGAAGCTAGACAACCATGGAAATCCTGAAAGCACTGAACGGCCGTTTCGTCCTATAGTGGGACTCCTCAGCAGTGCTCATCCATGACGAGAAAGCCGTCCAGTGCTTCCAGGTTTTCTTTGGTGATCTATCTTTAATTGACATATGATTCCAACTATAAAATTTGTTTCCGTTAAAGAAAATGTTTAAATTCAATAACTTTCAGGTAAAATATTTCATTCTCTAACAGAAACATATTGTCTTTATATTATTTTCAGATTGAACGAGGTACACGTTCTAAGGATTTAAATGAGGCATTACAATCACTTAAATCATCATATTTTCATGATCAATATCTAGAATCATTTAGAGTAAGTGATCAATTTTCTCTTCTTCAGACTCATTGATATGTCATAAATGTATTTAGGTGTATACAGCCTGATAAATGAGATACAGAATGGTACATTTCTTTTAAAGAAAATAGTTTTCATTATCCAACCAGTTATCAGGGAACAACAATTCATATACTATCTTAAGGGGGATTTGTGGAGATTTTATATAGTTGAGATCATGAGTCAATTGAAGCAAGACCTGGAAGCACTGGATGGCCAACTCCTCTTATTGTTGGACTCGTCAGTAGTGCGCATCCACGATCTCACCTCAAGAGACTCAAAGCCAGGACCTACCAGTCTCGCTCCAGTGCATTTAGCCAATAGACCACTTAGCTGTCCGGCATCTGATGGTGTCTGACTCACGCTTTCAACTATGGTAATACTAAATCTCCACAGAAACCCCTTCTGACAACATATTTATTGGCTAATTATCAAAAAAAAGAAAAAGAAAAAACGAAGTAAAATTTTTGTATTTGTAGGTGTATTTGATGAATAAGTTTTCATCTTGTTTTCGGGGGTATAAATCTGTTTCTCTTTTTTTATTGCCCATCATCTTTTGTTGTCTTTTTCACATCGGATAAAATGGTTTCCTTCTTGTTTTTTTTCACGTTTGAAGTATCAAGTGTTTTCCTTAGTTTTATCAAAAATCGTTAAATTTGTCCTTCAATAACAGAAAAGTTAAACGAAAAATATCCGAATGTTTTAACTTTAATTTATTATAAAGTTCTAAGTGTAAACTTCCAAAATGCTTTTATTTTGGAAGAAAACTCGGTGGGACTATAATTTATGGATGACCTTTGTGAGACACTAAACTGTCCTTCAGAGTTTCCACCTAATAACCACGATCAAATGGGGGTAGTAAACCTGTGTGTGGAATCAGGACTAATATTTGCAGTTGGTAGTTAGGGTTAGGAATTAGGTTTCGGGTTTTCATCACGAAATGTTATCAGCTATAATGCCGAAACTGTATGCATCCAAATGGATGAGTGAATTTCTCGCCAAAATCCGATACATGTTATTTTATACGTAATTGGTTCGTCTGTAAATTATAGTCTAATTCATTTAAGCATCTTCAGCATAAACTAAATCTATGTCAGTCATAGAACAGACTATTATGTGCTGAGGACACTGATAATGGTGAAGCGAATAAACTAAAGAATTCACCATGAAATAAGGGTTAACTATGTAGTTCTGTCAAAAAAAATATTTGTCAGGACAGAAAAACAGGGTAAACTGTCAGGCGGTCAGAAAGAATGCACTATATCTTAAACTTGCTTTTAAAAATACAAAGCAGGTTACATCTAAACACATTTAATTGGAAGATTTATTGATGAACTTTTAACGTCCTTAAGTTAAATGTGATCTCAGTACATAAACAACGAATCAAAGATGGATTAATGATGAGGGGCTTCTTCATTTATGTATACAACTACAAAGGATGTACAATAAGCCTTTAAATTTGTCTTGGTCCACCTCTGGATCGCCATATACATAAAATGGACTTTTTTAACCCTTTTATGTTTACTTCTCACCTGTCTCATTCTTAATTTATAGATCCATTTTTCCCGATTTACATGAATTTCCTAGCATACTTACCTTGGCAATACCTCCCTTATTACATAGTATACTATTATGCTGTTATTATTATCTCCATTAAATCGATAAAATTCCCCTACTACGTATTTTATTCACACGATATACTTTGCTATCATACTAATTGTAAGTTGATATCTTTCAATGAATCACTTTGACCTTATTTAAATGATTTTCCCCACGACCGAGGTGGGGGAAGTCAGTTCTCCCTCTCGAAATGCTGTCATATGGCCACGCGTATATAGCCTCTGTCAGGGAAGTCCTATTCATTGCCTTCTCGTGGCAGGGGTATTCTTTACGAAATTGAGAGGACGAAGAGCGAATGTCCGGCGCTGTAACCGGGTTGGTGGACACAGAGGATCCACCTAGGGGAGTTGGGAAATCCTGATACCAAACCAACGGTGGACATAAGCTTCAATATCCTGAGGGGACAAATGGCGTATGAATCAATCGTCGGTCAAAGTTTAATATTTTCAGAAAGGGGTTTTTTTGAGATTTTAGTAACTTGAAAGTTGAATTCATGAGTCGATTGAAGCTAGTCAACCAGGGAAAACCTGGAATCACTGGACAGCCAATTCGTCTTGTTGTGGGACTCCTCAGGAATGCGCATCCGAGACCCCACTCCACGAAATTAGAACATAGGATTTATCGGTTACTCACACAAACGTTTACCCTCTAGATCACTAAGCCGGTGTTCGCACAAGAGGCCGAAGCTTCTGGTCTCGTGTCCTGAGTAAGGAATCATGGATGCTCACTGCCTGAGAGTTCCATACTATAATGAAACATACTTTCAGTGTTTCTAGTTTTCCCATGGTGGTCTAGCATCAATTAACTCATGAATTCAACTCTACTTCTTTTAACTCTTAAATAGAAAAAAATTATAAATAATTTTTCTCCATTCTCATATATTTTCAAAATATTCTCCTAGTAGATATCAATTATAAAAGTACAAATATAACATTCGATATAAAACAACACCCACCCATAAATAAAATTGACCTCATTTCTTTTTTTTTAATAATATAATGAACAAAACATAGTTATTGTTTTTTTTTCTCTCTCTCTCACTTCTATCACTTATTCTCAACACGATTCCCTTTTTTGAAATATTCTATACTCTTATAATTATGGGGGTGTTTGTGAGTGTGTGTGAGTGGGTATTTGTGTGCCTGTGTATGTGTAGGTGTGTGTGTGTGTGTGTTCAGATCAATTTACAGATGACCTTCCTTTCGACTTTAATTCATTGTAGGTTAATTTAATAATTTCATTTAACAACAAATATTTTCTCATTATAAAAAAAATTTTTTTTCTTCAAAAAATTTATACCCCCCTAAATATGTAATGAAATTAGATTGGACTTAAAAGGTCCTTATACATTTTGTACTTATAATATCATGTCATGTTAATAATTTTTAAACAAAAAACAAATCCAGCTGACGAGTCCCAAATGGGACGAAACGCGCGTCGTGGATTTCACTGCTAGCCACTAACCATCTCTGCTTACCAATAATAAAGATGGTTAAAATAAGATAGGAACTCATTGAAGACAATTGATGAACGGTTGGTCAAACATCGTGGATTGGTTGAAGTTAGACATTAACACCATTGGATGCCGGACAGCTCAGTGGTCTATCGTTTAAGTGCTCTGGCGTGAGATTCGTAGGTCCTGGGTTCGAGTTTTGCGAGACAAAGTCGTGGATACGCACTGCTGAGGAGTCCGACAATAGGACGAGTTGGCCATCCAGTGCTTCCAGGTTTTCCATGGTGGTCTAGCTTCAATTGACTCATGCATTCTACTATGAAAATAAGATTAATTAGTTAGGTGGAATTAATAACTGATTTTTATTATTATTAATATTATTACTTTTGATACCACAAGACGACCTGAGTTAGAAATTCATTCAAAAACTGGGAGCGTGAAACAGTTGTTTCTGCCATGTATAGGACTCTTTGATAATGAACATCCTTGACCATACTCGGCTTCAACCAGTGAACACTAAAACTTTAGACTGTTAAGCAGATATCCGTTAGTGTACATATCTATCTTCAACAAATTTACAACGGTCCTGGGTTCCACCCACAGTCATGTCATAACTGCGTACAGTCTGGAAGTCCGATACTGAAATGAAACAGATGTCCAATATCTCTTCGTTTCTAATGATTGCGTTAAATGAGCCGGTTCTTAATATCAATAGCATTAAATAATCTCGACAAACATTTGTACTGATAATTTATTATTATTACATATCGAATAAATTTACTGAGACAATTTCTTACTAATTTTATAGATGTTTTCAAGATCAACTCAAGGGTTTTCATAACTAGATATAAATGTGTGAAACTGAAATGTTTTGCCACTTAGGATGATCTTTATTTAGTTGTTGAGAATTTTTTAAATAGCCAAGTCATCATCAGTATAGGATTTTGGAGATTGTTGAGTTTTGTTTGAGATCATAAATCGATCAACCTTAGAGTACCATTAAAAACCTGGGAGCCACGAACATTGTAGCTAGTCCGTGTCAGGTGTGATACAATTATTCACTTAAGACAAAAGGACATGGTCGCACAATATCGTGGATTGGTTGAAGAGAAGTGGTTAATTGAAGTTAAACATGAATACCGTTGAATGCCAGCTCAGTGGTCTAGAGGTTAGGTGACCGAAGGTCCTGAGATTGAATCCCACGAGCGAGATCATGGATAAACACTGCCGATAAGACCCATACTAGGACGAGTTGGCTTTCCAGTGCTTCCAGGTTTCCCATGGTGGCCTTGTTTCAATTGACTCATGAATTCAAATATGAAATAAATATGATTTAATAATAAGCATGTATATTGTTGATTAACTGTTAAACTCATTAATTTGAAAGGTTTACAAATTCTGAACGATTTTTACTGAAATCCTTTCAATTAGTAACTGTTTAACTTTGAAGCAAACGTCCGAATCTTTCCAAAAAGCGATACAATCGTACTATGGTTACAAACTTGGGCAAGTGTTAAAAGGCCTTAAACCTTCTGTATAATTGAACTAAAAAAAAGTATAAAAATGGAAGGCAGTTAAAAATTACGTACACCTTATACATGATTGGTAAATTTATGAAAGTATTGTATTGGAACTTATATTTGTAGCTTCAAATCAATGTCAACCTTTGTAAATCTTTATTGAGACGTGGATAGCTTTACAGTGGTGTCTATACTATCTCAACATGTTTTTCACCTCATGTATTAGATGGTCGATACACTAACACTGATTAACAACGAATTGACCATCATATCCATAACTTTAAACTCTTCCTACGTAAACTATTTAGTTGTCCGGTGAAAGTCGTATCCGGTGAAAGATATTTCATGATAACACAAATGAAGTTTGGAAATATCAAATTCTAGTTAGTTTATGATAACATAAATGGACTATTTTTATGATTAAATACAACAATTAATAGATAAATACGAATAATTTAAAACTGATTGACAATTGAGTTGAGTATGTCAAGTCCTTCTTGGTGCTAGTTGAATTTCATCGATCAAATTACATTCTGGCCACTAGTCTGTGACACTCGACATCGAGAGCTTTATATTTAGATGTAGAATGCTGGTTGGAGGTGGTCGACAGAATTTCTAGGTTTCTTGATATTTGGTACTCATCGACAGGATATGTCTGTAATCTCTAAGGGATTGATGCTCTTCGACGGACTCGATGTTGCATCATCCCAATTAGCAGTTTGAGACTTTATCTAGCGATGACAGGTATATACCATTAATTGATCAATGAGTTGCGCGAAATGTCATGTAATGCAATACTAATAAAGTAGCTATAATGTTTAAAGATTTTCTTAATGAAACACTTTGTTCAGTGGTTAAATACCAACAACATTTGCATACCGACAAACTGAAGAAAACTGCAATACGATATTAGAGACAATTTTTTAGTCCCTTTGTTCCACTGAATACGGTGTTACAAAAAAAACATAGAATGGAAGACAATGATTCCACTTACTTAGTTGAATCCAATATGCATTTACATGATCTATACTGCTAAATTCAGTGTACATATAATCACTTCAATATTTGAATTCAAATTAAATGGATATCACTTACCTCCCTAAGAAGGGATAGGGCACTTGATCTTCTCTAAACTTTCTTAATCTAACAATCTAATCCATCAATATGAACTCATGTTTCTAAGCATTATACCTAATCTATTCAATTCATTCATCATTAATCTTTCATAGCTCTCAGAAGTGCCTATGTATATGTAACAATGTAAACAAAGTTTTATACTCAAATACAAATCTAAGCAAATATTACCATGTAGACATCATGAAAAGTCATTGAAATATAAAAAAAGTATCTTCCCTTCTGTTTGTTCTAAATTTTTACTTAAGAGTGTATATGTTTTTTTGTCTTTGATACTCATTCAGGATTCACATTGGTCTCAATTAGATAAAAGTGGTAATTCAGAAAATATTATGACAGATCGTGAAGTACGTCGTTGTGAAGCAGTTTGGGAATTATTCAAAAGTGAACTAACATTTTTTACTGATCATCTTATGGTGCTTAAAAATGTAAATGAGTATTCATATTTTAATGAACTATATATATTTGGATGTAAATATTCATTTTTATCATTATCTAAGTTGATGACATTTAAGGCCTTATTAACCGAAACATTTACTGAAAAGGACTATATTAGATCGAGGAGTTCTAGTGAGAAGCAGGGATCAGTGGAGTTCAAACCACATCTGTTGTGAAATAGGAAGTCACTGATGACAATTGGTGAATGGTCGCTCAACTTCGTGGATTGGTTGGAGTTAGACATCAACACCATCGGTTGCCGGCTCAGTGGTCTATCGTTTAAGTGCTCTCGCGCGAGACTGCTGGGTCCTGAGTTCAAGTCTTGCGAGGTGAGTTCGTGGATGCTCACTGCTGAGGAGTTCCACAATAGGACGAGTTGGTCGTCTAGTGCTTCCAGGTTTCCCCTAGTGGTCTAGCTTCAAGTGACTCATGCTTTTAACTATGAAAATACTATATTAAATCGTTTAATTTGAAAATCTGCCAAGGGTTATAAATTATAATGATATAGTATCTAAAACAACTGCTTTCTTTTTCCAAATAAAGAATCTTCATTATTTATAATGGGTACAACTAATAATATCATACTGCGGCCATGGTTACCTTCTGATTGAAATTACCTCAACAAACTGATAAAGTATTTTATTCATTATCGTATTGGTTATTTGACTCTTCATATTGATGTTTAAGGCTACAATTGACCAATTCCTCACGTGCATCATGGACGCATTAATTCAATATTATCTCATATATTAAGCATTATAGGCAGAGATGGATGATGGCTAACAATGGAATTCACGACACATGTTTCATCCTATTTGAGACTAGTCAGGTGGATGTACCTGCATAACAGAATTGATGTTCATTCTGCGATTCGAATCAGCTACCATTCGTTTCAAATGCCATCTCGTTGTTCACTTATCTACCGAGTCCAGGTCTGTGATGCAGGTAGATCTAACTGACAAGTCCTAGCTAAGACGAAACGTTCGTCATTGATTCCACTGTTAGCTATCATTCATCTCTGCCCATAAGGCATTGAGCTAATCAACAGGCATCCAGACATATTTGACGTATTTAGGTGAATCGGCAACTGTTTTGAATAAATTTACTTCACCTTTTACTTACTTAATTCATCATTAAAATATATGTGTATGTTGTTCATTATTTAAACGTCACAAACACATCCATGATATGTGGTTATATTAATTGTAATACGCTTACGAAAATACTCTTTTTCGTAGTAAACGTGGCTTATTCTGTTCCTAACTCATATGCAACATTACAGAAAGCTCATTAGAAGCAATTGATTAAAGTAATTCAATCAAATGTCGTTCTTCACCAAACCAGGAAGGATTTCATAATGCTATCAAGTAGTTTTATGTACATTCATATAAATAACTGTGCGTATGTTTTGTAATTTCAGTGCTTTATGGAACCATTGAAAAAGCTTCAAGTCGATGGATATCTTATGTTTGTTGAACCAATGCATTTATTTGGAAATTTGGATGATTTGTGTTATGTAAGTTTGTTTTTTGTTTATATTAATTTTCTAAATATTATAATAGAAATATCTAAGTTTATGTAAAGTGACTTATTATAGATAATCATGTTAATTTTTACAGATTGTATCTATGACTATGGTGTAATATTACGCGCTAATTAACTCTAACTAAGATGGTGGTTGGAGGTAGACAACAGGAAACCCTGAACCTAGGTTTCGTGCTACTTGGCGCTCGTCAATAAGGTGTACCTGTGATTTTGATGGATTCGATCCCGTGTCACCAAGCTTCTCAATCGGAGACGTTACCACAGGGCTATCCGGGCCGTGACTGACCTCCTGTAAGACTGAGATGTATTTACAATTGATTGATCACTGGTTGGTGATCAGTGTTATGTGTGTCAGGTCTTTGTTCTATAGGATTCGATCTGCACTCAGAAGGACCTGACATACATGACATCGATCACCAACCAGTGATCAATCAAGTTTAAATGTGACTAATCAGCTTCTCGTTGTTCTATTGAAATTTATAAAAAGGATTAGTTGTTTTGAATGAATAAAATGTATATTAATTTAATATTCCCCTTATTCGTTTACTTTATAGGTTAGTCATACATTTTGTCGCGAACTTATAAGTAATTTAAGTCAAGAATCAGTATCAAATGAATTTGGTAGTACTGATGTTTTACTTCGTCCACTGAAAAGGGTAAGTTTACGAGTGAAGTTTTAAATTTATATATATATATATATATATATATATATATGTAAGTTTTTCAGGTATGTGTTATATCTTGTTGCCCACCAATTAGAATACAGTGAATTATCCCATCTCCGTCGCCAATTAGAGAGCGGTGATTTATCGATCGGACCAATGACACATGAAACCTGTACGAGCGGTCTAGAGCACTTGTCGGTTCTGCTGTCTGCTTAGCCAGCAAGTTAAATCCAAAACAGCCTCTGTGATATGAATCATTATTCTCAAACATACTGGGTTTACATACCAATCAAACTGACTACATCGTTTCAATAAAATAGAAAATAACATTTGTACAAGATTCAGCATAATGTGGCTGTGAATAGGGGGAACAGTGATTAATGGACTAGGGATAACTCAAGAATGGTAAATCGTACAGTAATAGTCTATGGGTCGAAATAAAGCATATAATAAAATGAACATGAATATGAATAGTTTAGTCACTTAACAATTATAAGATAGGAAATATACATATCCTATTGGTCCATAAATTGTTCTCGAAAGTTACCATTCTGAATTGTCCTAGGGATATAACAGTATGAAGGAAGAAAAACAGTGAAAAATATTGAATTTCTGGTAAAGTGATGATTACATTTGTTATGATTCGAGTTGAATTTGATTTCAATGAAATACTGTTAATTGGATGAATTTTCCGAATACTAATGTTGCTTCGGTGTAAACATTGAACACTTTGGATATATGAGTTTTATTACTAAATAATTTATTTATTCTAAAGAATTACCAAAGGAAATACGTTTTTGTAACAGAGTACTTGACTTAACCCAGTCTTTAGTATGATTTATCTACTTAGTTGTTGTAAGTAGACACACGAACTGAAATATATGTCAGCTGCGATAGTTTGAGTAAGTATTAGTCGGTCTCACCAGTGTAGACCATCAACGTTGATGATCTATGTCGAATGATTGGAGGCCTACTCGAGTTAGACGAGAACAGTGTAACGAACAAGCTAACTTCGAAGTCACACCTCGCGATCAGCACCTTACGTGAATTGCCCAATCGACGCATCAAGGGAGCATGGATACTCTGAAGACTTTACAACACAAAGGACGTTATTGCAGGAATATATTAGTTAAAGTAGATACAAGCGATAATAGAACCACTGCCGCATGAGCCAGTCCATAGCGTATGATTAATTGATGCGCGTTGATGGTCCTTGACCTTGACGGAGATCGATGATCTGTTCGATGTTTAGTGACCCAACTGCCGGATGATTTGGCTAGGGTTCAGTGACATGTCACTGGCCCTACAATAACATCAAACCGACTGAACAGGTTTATAGTTATATGGACCCAGTAGGTCAGTGGATAACACGTACAACCTTCAAATTTTAGTCGTAACATTAACGTCGTGATGCAGTTACATCCACGCGGTCATTCTCAAACAAAACAAAACGCTTCTTATAAATTCCACCGCTAACAACAATTTAAGTGGTTTATTATTTTTGTCAGCTTGTTTACTTAAGCTGTTTGCCTTATTAGTCACTTAAAAAGATATTACTTCTTATAACCAAGTGTTGAGGAGCCAGTTTTCGTTAGCGTTGGCCGTGATATTTAGAGACTGCTATGGGTAAAATTAGTAATGATACTCAAGTAACCCTTTTTAAAAATCAGTTGTGCTGATACTGATTATTTTAAACAGGAATTTTGAGAGGGACGATAGTAAACAAAAAGAATCGAAAATATGACCAAAAAATAACGGAATAATTCATTATGTCATTTCGAAATCACTTTAATCACAATCAGGCAATCAAAAGCCTTCATTATTAAAAATCACTTTAGCAACCAAATAATTTTCACAGTCGCGCGAGACGTATAGGTCCTAGCTTCAAATCTCGCGAGGCGGGATCGTGGATGCACACTGCTGGGGAGTCCAACTGTGGGACGAGTTGGCCGTCCAGTGCTTCCAGGTTTTTCATGGTGGTCTAGCTTCAACTAACTCATGATCAAAACTATTGAAATTACCATAATATCCACAAAAACCACTTCTGATATTAATCAACCTATGCCCACTAGTGACTGGCTTCAAGAGGGATTTCCTGGAGTTCTAGTGGAAAGCAGTGACCAGTGGAGTTCAACTAGGTGTGTTGTGTGATAGTAACTGACTGGAGACTAAGGTGGATGTGTCTGTCAATTTGTTGAATCGGTTGAAGTTAGACATTAACACCGATTGGATGCCGGCTAAGTGGTCTAGAGGTGAAGCACTCGCGCGTGAGACTGTTGCGTTCTGCGCTCGAATCTCGCGAGACAGGATCATGAATGCGCACTGTTGAGGAGTCCCACAATAGGATGAGTTGGCCGTCTGGTGGTTCCAGGTTTTCCATGGTATTCTAGCTTCAATTGATTCATGAATTCAACTATCGAGATTACTTATTTTTTCAAAATCTTATACTTAACAATTCATTAACTAAAAATAACAAAAATCATTTGCCCATAACTTGTTTACATCCTCTCTTCATTTTGTTCTCTGTTATTTGATTCTCTTCTATTCACTTAAGTGGTCTGAACATTCAAAGGATGGAGAAATTTACCATAATTATTGTTTAAATTATGATTCAGCATTAAATTATTTAGATAGTTTAAGAAAACTTGAACATTTCAATGAATTTGAAAAGGTTAGTCTTTTCTTATTTTTTTTTCACTATACTGTTCGTTTTAGTATGTTCACGTTTAACATAATGATTGATTTAATTATTGTGATTAGAGTAGATTAGAGTTAAGTAATTGGTATTTAATTAAGTAGCATATAATGAAGCATTAGAAAACAGATATATTGTAGTGAACAAGAACACGAGTGAGGTGAATTCTGATAACCATACAGTAAACAGTTAATTTGCAAAAATAACAATCAATTGTCTCAATATTCACTATTCCTTCTGTAAATATCAGTCCATCTTCTCTGATTTCATTGTTTATACATTTTCTTCCCGATTGCGCCTTATTTCTGTTTGTTCCTTATCGGTCTTCTGTCAAAATACATTTTATATCTGACCATCACCATATACTACTTATGTTGGTATAAGTAGACCACACTACAATATGTTCCAGTTCAATACTTATCAATAGTTAACAATTTTGAATCTCACTCAAAAATAGTATAGTAATTATAAATTATTCTTCACTAGTAAACTGAGTTATTTTATGCATTTTATGTACAAAATCTGAGGAATCTTAGTGAGCGACCTATGCTCCTCCACGGGGGTTATCAGGCGTAAATAAGTAAGTATTTACAAAAAGACTTTTGTGAAAGATTTAATGTTACGCTTTAATGCGTATATGTTAGGTCTAAAGTATTTTAGAAAAATTCATTCAATCCACCTGAGATATTTCATAGCTTTTCACTGTCATTTCTTGTTAGCCATTTTTGGTGTATTTGAAGATCGTCTGAATCTTTCATGAGTATAGACTTTTATTAGTTTTGTTTTCGGCTGAGGGTGAGGAGAGGCAGCACTCCCTCTCAAAATGCTCTCACATGGAGACACGTATAAAGCCACCGACAGAGAAGTCCCACTTACTGACTTCTTGAGCTGGTGAGTGTTCTCTACGAAATCGAGAGACTTAGTGGATACGGAGGATCCACCTAGGGTAGTTGAAAGCTCTGATTCCAAACCAATGATACACATGGGCTCCAGTATCCTGAGGGAACAAAAACGTATTAACCTATTATTAACCACTGGCTTCCATGGGACTGCATCTCTTAAAGTTGCCCCACTGACTTGTGGATTAGACCTTCACGTCAAAGACTCCGGGTGTGGCCGCCTAAGTAAACCACTTATTTCGGTTTGTGCGCCCTTACACAAATCACTGATAACTGCTACTGGCCTCATTGTCATTGTGTGGTACATGTATATTTGGTGCTCCCTTTTACCAATATTTATGTGTTCAAATAAATAAAATAATGAACATAAAAGAAATTGTTATATTTGATATTTTCCATTCTAGTAGTCAAAGTAAACTTTAACGTTTACCAATATACAACTTTCTAAGATTCTTTGTTGAAACATTCGATTTCGGACGTGTTTATGTTTGTTATGGTTTATTGTGATTTAACGGAAAACGGAAACTATTTTATTTATTCAAATGTAAACAACAATTTGTGGAAGTGCCATGTTCTTATTCTTATTTCGTCAGACCACCACCAGAGTTTTAAAAATAAACGCTACGTAGACTTTGAAGTAGTGATCCTGTCGGTAGTCAAGATAAACAAAAATTCTATTGTTGAAATATGATCGAAATAACAAGTCTGATTAATTTAATGTTATCCGCTGAATATGTTTTAGTCTCTTAATAAATCGTCAGTTTTCTCTTTCATTTCACAGAGGTGCATTATTTAGAAATATTAAAATACCATTGAAGATCTACGGTATAAATCTAATATTATTCAGAAATACTACTTAATTCGTCGTCAGTTTTGATTCATTACTGTACTGGAGAAACAAGTCTTTTATCAATATATTGATCATGCTTATCATAATGAAAAATATTGGAATTCAAGATACACGTTTCTTTGTAGTTAGGACTCATCAGTTAGATCTACCTGCATCACAGAGTTGAACTTGGTAGATAAGTGGACAACAAGATGGCGTGCAGGTACATTCATCTGAAGTGTCTCAAATAAGACAAAACATGTGTTGTGGATTCCGTTGTTAGCCATCATCCATCTTTGTCTATAATGCCTGATATATGAGATAATATCAAAGTGATACGTACATGATGCACATATGTCAATGAGGGACTGATCAATCGTAATCTTAAACATCAATGTGCAGATTCAAACAACCTATACAAAATAGTATAAACGCATAAAAGTTTATCTATTTTGAGTTTTGTGAAGTAACACTATGCGATACATTTAAAAAAAGAGCGTTTCATCTACTACATAAACTGTATTAATGAATAATAACACTTCACAAAGACGATTTTTGGAATGTTGGAAACTTAAATAAAAGGTGCAAGATACTACACATTTTTAAGAACATTCATCTATCCGTCTACTTTAACTGTAGAACAACTGCTCACATCACATTTCATATCCGTTAAAATTAAACTGCTTTTCATTCATCCTAGATTCGTCTGGAATTCTACTGTTAGCCACTATCCATCTTTGTTTATAAACTATATTTTATTCGTTCAAAACACTCTATAGCCTATCTTGATTGTTATTACATTTGAAATGATGAAATTATATAGAGAAAACCAGCAAAAGTTGCGTAATCAAATTACTTAGTTCATAAACATATAATATCCGTCAAAACACTCCAATTTCATATCTTATTTAACTAACTTCTTAGAAGTTTTTTTAACAAGAATCTTATTGTTTTATTTATTTGTTAATTTTTCTTCTTCTGAGGAGCCTCACAATAGGACGAAACAGCTGTCCAGTGCTTTCAAGTTTACCATGGTGGTCTAGCTTCAATTGACTCATGATTTCAACCATATAAAAACTAAGTGTCAGTTATTTCATTACACGAAAAGTACTTAAATTCCAATCAATAGTTGTTTCTAGTATCATCATTGCTTAATACAACGCCATATCTTTATCATAAATAATAGTTGAATAAACCATGTATAATGTCATTTAAAAACTTTAATTATCTCTGTTAGGCACTTTGTTTTTTTCAATTTATTGTTAATTCTAGTGGTGTGAACAAGATACTCGTTGTCGACGATTACAATTAACAGATTTATTAGTAGCACCAATGCAACATTATATGAAAATACCATTACTATTAAGTAGTATCCGACGTTATACAGCATGTAGTGCTGAACAAGAAATGTTAACAGCATGTTTAACTAAAGTGGAAAACTCTTTAAGTAAGTATATTCTATAAAATTATATATATATATATGCACGCGAGACCGAAGGTCCTGGAATCGATTCCTTAGTGTTGAATTGTGGAAACGCACTTTTTTCACAATAATATTACTTCATTTAATTTTACACACTTTGCAAGGAATATGGAACTATCAGTATGGGGTTGTGGAGGTTGTTGTGTTTTTGATTGACATCATTAACCGATTGATGTTAGACCACCATTGAAAATCTGGAAACACTTGACGACCAACTCGTCTTATTGTGGAACTCCTCGGCAGTGCTCATTCACGAGTCCGCTCGAGGGATTTGAACTCAAGGCTTCCAGTCTCGCGTGCGAACTCTTAACCTCTAGACTACTGAACTATCCAACGGTGTTAATGTCTGACCTCGACAAATTGACGAAATTGCATGACCACCTTCTATTGTACTGAGGTAGATACCTGTCTTTACCATGGTGGTCTAACATCAATCGGTTCATAATCTCAATCAAAAACATAATATGTAACTGTAAAAGCAAATGGGTTCATTTCATTTTACAAATTTCTTCTTCATTCATGTTTAAATTTAATATAAAAATTTATGACTGGAAGAACTTAAATACAGAAACTATAATAATTCAAGGCATCACTGATAAATCGAAAGTTACATTACTTCTCTAATATACTGCTTGCATTACCAAGGATAAAATAATAGAAGATAATGTAGAACCCTAAAATCTATACTACGTTTATCATAACTCAATTCGGAATTGGGCAAATATGGAAATTTAAAAAAATCATTCAACTGAATATGTTTCTCCCAAATAACCTGACTAGACAAAAATTAATTCATCGGTGATTGAAAAGCATACCATACTTCTAAATGTATTGAAAAAACAATGAGTCCTGATTCACATACTTACGTCTGTTACCCCTCGTGGAGGAGTATAGGACCCCTTCCAGCATCTACAATCGAACTCTGTCCTGGTCATTCCTTTCCAGTTGTATTCAGGTGCTATTGATCCTTTTGATATCTGCTCCCAACTCTTGACGCAGTGTGTTTTTTGATCCTCCTCTTTTCCGTTTCCTTTTATGATTCCAAGTAAGCGCTTGCCTCATAATGCAGTGCGAAATTAGTCCTGAGATGTATGCAATTTTCAGTACTTTCTGAAACTAATTGTCTTTAATTTACAGATCTTCCCATTCTACCATGAAGTAATTGTAAGCAAATAAAATATATATATATTCATTTATTGTTTGGATCTTCCTGTGATTGATTCAAGGGACTAAGACTTATCACTCTCTTTCAGCATTCATAAATTCCATGCCATCTGAAGCGAAAGATATTAGGTTTGAGTCCCGATTACGTATCAACACACGGTATAAGTGAATTCGCCTGGTGAATCCCGCATAGTACAAAACACTCATCTTGGATTTCATTCTTTAAGAATCCATATATAGAAAAGATATTTCTTTATGACATTTGCCTACACTCACTTTATGACTGATTACGTGGGAACTGTTGTTCCAGATTTAGAACTGTAGATCACTAATCTAAGAAAATTCACCTCATTTGTACTGAACAAATGAAATCTAAACTTTTAATCCGAACCCGATGTATTCATCAGTAAACAAACTTGAACATATCGTCATCATGTGCATTAGAGTCACGTTTCAGTGGGTTCTTTTTGAATTACGACGCATATTGAAATAACTGTGACATCCTTTTTTTCTGTTCTATTACTACTATCATCAGAATCACTAGAAGATAAAATGCGTTGGTTGAAAAATTTTGAACGACTTCAAGAAATTCAATCTCAACTCATATGGCCATCAGTTTCAGAATTAGAACCAAGAGTATTTATTCCTGAATTTTTACGTCAAAGTTTAATACGTCAACCATGTGAACGATTGATTGCAAATCCTAAACGACAATTATTACATGAAGGTTTTCTAACATTAAATGGTAAGCTAAAATATTTAATATTGGTAGTTCTGAAACATATTATGTAATAATTGAATGATAGGATATAAGTTAATATATACAATATTATTGATCATTACTTAACCAAGTCATCTTACAAGTTATATTATACTAACTTACTTAGTTACGCCTGTCACTCCCAATGGAGCATAGGCCAACGACCAGCATTCCCCAACCCACTCTGTCCTGAGCCATCCTTTCTAATTCTATCCAAATTCTGTTCGTTCTTCTCATGTCTGTATCCATTTCTCGGCTTAATGTGTTCTTTGGTCTTACACTTTTCCTTTGGCCCTCACGATTATATGTGAGGGCTTGCCTTGTGACTCAGTTGGGTGCTTTCCTCAATGTGTGAGAGGGTGTTAATAATAATATTTTCAATATAGTAAATCCCATAATAATAGTCAATAGGGTCAAATAAAAGTTCATAACAAAAGGAATATGAACATGCATATAATATAGTTACTTAATCATTATGCATTAGAAATATATATAATGATAGTTCACAAACAGATCCTAGCAGTTACTATTCTTATATTCTTCATCCGGTTATTATATATTAGTATAACAGTTTCAAGGATGGATTTGTTCTACTTATAAGTGATTTAAATTATAAACTGGCAAAAGTAATGTTACCTTATTGATTTTTTCAACCATACTCATGATCTATTCAATTCGCTGATCATTCTAACCTGCCTAACTAAATGATAAAGCAATTAATAACAATTGATTGATCACTGGGTGATGATCAGTGTCCTTCTTAGTGCTGACTGAATGCTATCGATCAAGTTGCAATGTGGTCACCAGTCTAGGTGGCTCGACATTGTGTGCATTATGTTGAGATAAGATGGTGGTTGGAGGTGGACAACAGGAAACCCCGGACACGGTTTTCGGGCTACTTGGCACTCGTCGGCAAGGCATACCTGCAATCCTAAGGTAACTGGTGCTCCCTGACGGATTCAAACCCATGTCACCCAGCTTCACAGACAGAGACGTTACCACTGAGCTATTCGGGCCGTGATCGACCTCCTGTAGGACTGAGATGTAATCACGATTGATTGATCACTGGGTGGTGATCCATGTCATGCGTGTCGAGTCCTTCTTAGTGCTGATCGAATGCTAATAAGGGATTTAAATTATGAACTGGTGAAAATAAGGTTACATTATTGATTTTTCAATCATACTCATGATCTATTCAATGTTCTGATCATTCTAACCTACCTAACTAAATGATAAACCAGTTAATCGATACTTTGGAAGAAAATGTAACTTTTTTTCAATGTTAGAAAATGACGTTTATTATTTTAATTCGTTTTAGATGGAACTAAAACTATTGAAATATTTGCTTTTTTATTTGATGATTTTCTCTTGGTTACACGAATTAAAAAACCACCAAAAAAGGTAAATAATATAACGGTTATTTTAATATTTATTTTAAAACTTTTGAATGAAATCAATAAAGAACATCAATTCTGGGGTTCAGGTATATCCATTTGACGAGCCCCAAGTAGGACGAAACATGCGTTTTAAATTCCAATGCTATAGCTATTATCATCTACCTTTGCCTATGATTATTGATTATTGATTTTTGCAAATGAATTATTTATTGTCTGAATGGTAAAACGATGTTTATTGTCATGAATAGAAGTAGATGGATTAAATAACATTCGATCACTTGGATAAAGTATAAGATAGGATAGAAGCTATTACCAACAATATAGACAGTAATATTCTACAAGGAGTGTTTAACATTTTAAAACTTTTGAATGAAATCAATAAAGAACATCAATTCTGGGGTTCAGGTATATCCATTTGACAAGCCCCAAGTAGGACGAAACATGCGTTTTAAATTCTACTGCTAGCCATTATCCATCTTTGCTTATAATATTTACAATAATGTTCATCAAATTTCAATTTTTTTTTAGAATCGTCGAAAAAATCATTTTCCATTCATAAGACATCAACTTTCCTGATAATATACAATACTTCATAAGTTATTGCTTAGTCACTCTAGTCTTTATAGGTAAATGTCAATGGTCTAAGATTAAATATCAAAAGTTCAAATCTAAGGTACAACTCTTAGTTAAGAAGAATAACATAATGTGTAAACTAAGCATTTCTGTTTTAACATTTAGACTCTACTCCGTTGTATATTTCAACTTTCACGAAAGAATTTTTCTTACAGTTTGTTTTTCTATTCTAGATCAGTTCTTGACTGTCATATTTAGAAAAAAGGAAAAAAAACTAAAATCACTAGCTTTATTTCATTTATATATATAGGCTACATTCGTGAAAGATTGATTTCAGCTGAGGTAGCAATAAAAATCAGGAATCACTGGACAATAGTGTCGTGCTAGCACAGGACTAACCAGAAGTGTGAAGTCATATGCCATTTAGAGATCGAACTCAAGACTGTTAGGTATACCAAGGAATACTTGGTCATAGGAATCACTGTATTGGCATACATTTACAGTTATATCATTTATACATCAAACTCCTTATAGCACTTGTTTCATTTCTATGTATCACAACCTCCACTAGGTTCTTAAAGTGAAATAGCTCATTCTTATTTTGTCATTATATTTGACTGTTTAAAGTTAAAGTATAAACGAATGTTTTCTTGTTCAGATTATCACCATCACTATCAGGTAATAACTTACTTGACTTGTAGTGTCGGTTACTATGTTAAGCCCATATAACTTATTGTAGCTTCTGAACGGGTTAATTTATCCATTCTACTTGAGTCACGTTTTCACCTTGTCACTTACCAACCTTGATTGTTTTTATATTAGCTTATGTGTGTACACTTTTTATCCTATTCATCAAATATTTGTAACTTATTTTTATCTGGCTATAAATACTGATTTAAGCTTGACTAAATGGAGTTAGCTCAAAGGCCTTCTCCACTGAGCGTCATTTTGCTTTGCTCTCTTTTCTTCGCTTCCTTCGCTTCGTCTCTCTGATTGTCTGTCAAGATCAGTCAGAGTACAAAATATATGCATTCGAAATCCATTCTCGTATTTGACTTGTTTAATTCCGTTATTCACCGATGCGATTTTAGTCTCAGATTATATATAAGAATAGTAAGAATGTGTATTTCGACAACAATCATTCCATAACGATCATTTATTCAATCTAACTGGATTCATATCCCGGGTCACAAAAAGCTATATACACTTGATAGAATACTATGATTTATATAAAGTTTTCATTATGAAAGTAGTGCATTGATTATTCACTTAAACATTAATAAGTTGACTAATTGAATAAATCTTTGTATTATTTTAGAAATCATTTTCAGAGAATCCTTTAACTGGTCGTAGTATAACAGAAGGTGGAGTATTTGTTGTTTATAGACAAGTGATAGCCCTTGATCGTTTTACAATCCATGATTTAGGAATTGTCGAAGCAACCGGTAAGTTATTGTTGTCTACTATAAATCAAATTATTTTTGTTTGTAAACTACAGTTTCGTATAATAAGAAAATTCTATTTAAGTCCATAAGGCAGTGGATATCTAGACTCAGTAGTTTGATGGAAAACGCAAAAGTATTTGAAGTAAAACAGTACTGAGTTCGAGTCCTGGAGTGAAAATTACTTCTGGAATGTGGTAGACACATCCAGTTAACGAGACACGAATAGGGGTAGAGGCGCGTCCTGAATTCCAGTACTAGGCCATTATCTAACAGTACTTAAATGATAGAGTCTATTATCAAGTCTATAAACGTTTCTGTAAGTGAAAATAAACTTGGAATTTATATTTATTTTCATAGTTGAAATCATAAGTCAATTGAAGCCAAACCACCATGGAAAACCTGGAAGCACTGGACGGCCGTTTCATCCTATTGTGAGATAGTAACTCACTGAAGACAGTGGTAGACGGTGGCGTAATTTCGTGGATTAGTTGAAGTTAGATATTAACATCGTTGGATGCCAGGCAGCTCAGTGTGTTGCGTGTTCGCTAGTCGGGATTACCAATTATGTTCGTACGTTGAAGTTACCAACTTTGCTTCGCGTTCGTAATTTCGGGATCGAACGAAGCGAAAACGATGCGTATTGGAGATGGCGGGGAAGCCAACTCGCTATGAGCAAGCATTACTCAACATTTATAATCAGACAAAAACGAATGACAGGCATGATGAATAGGATACGAAGGGTACACATATACGCTCATATAAAAATATAGTCAAGGTAAATAAGCGAAAAATTAACAAGACCAAAATATGACTCATAATGTATAGGTGAATTAGCTTGGCCAGAAGCTAGAATAAAGTATATGGGCTTAACATAACAACCGATACTACAAGTGTTCTAGAAGTTGAGAGTTCGCGCGCAAGACCGATAGGTCCTATTATATTTAATCAATAATACGATTAGCATGATCATAAATAATGTGATGTAGCAATATAAAGTTTTATGATATGGTACTCCAAATTATGATAACCTATGAAGTTCTTCCCATCATTAAAGAAACACATCTAGATAAACTGAAGCCATAACAGTGAGTAAACCACATCACTTCACAGTAAATGACTGAAATGTTCCACTTTAGATAATCATCTTATTCTATAATTAAACTTGTGTTGCATATTTCATTCTTTCACTTCTTCTATGTTCGGCTTTTCATAAAATATACCGTTTCATCTCACCTTAAAATGTTGTTTATCTCCAATTACTTCCTATATCATAAACTATGATAATGTGAAAAACGGTACTAAACTAATCACCTGACAGTAACAGTGGTGAGATTTCTTCTTGTTTAAAGTTTCTTTTTTTTATATCATAAACTGACCACAAATTTAGGATTGGTGTAAACCTGAGAGAGATAGAGTGTTATTTTGTCCTACTTTAGGTCATGTGATAGGAAATGTCCGTATATTTATAGATAGACAATGATAAGATTATATTAAAATAAAAACATTTATTATATGATAAGGATTCTATAATGATTTAAAAGACATTAGATATAGACCATACCATTAATAAATAACGGATTAAATTGAAAGATGGTTGAAACTATGTTGTACATAGTGGATTCTATTGTTATTTTGAAAAATAGAAGTAAAATACTATTAACCTTTAGATTAAAGAAGTAGGTTATTGTGCGGTTTACCTTTCCACAGAATGAAATAAAGTTAGTTTATAGTTGTGATATCTTTCTATTATGGCTGAATAATCTAGAAGTGTCAATGGCCCCCATATGCCCTGGTACGGCTGAAAGTGGGGAGAGTCCGCTCTCCCTCTCCAAATGCTCTCATATGGCCATGTGGAAATAGCCCCTGTCAGAGAAGTCCTACTCACTACCTTCTAGCACCAAAGGTGTTGTTTACAAAATTGAGAGGACGAAAAGCGAATGTCTGGCGCTTTAACCGGGTTGGTGAACACGGAGAGTACACCTAGGGGAGTTGGAAAACCCTGATTCCAAACCAATGGTCACATGGGCTCCAGTATCCTGAAGGAATAAATGGTGTATGAACCAATCGTTGGTCACTGGCTACCATGGGACTGCATTTCCTTACGATGCTCCACCGCCCTGTGGATCAGATCTTTAGTTCGAAGGCTCCGAGTGTGGCCCCCTAAGAAAACCACCTGCTTCGGTTTGAGCACTCGGACAATATCACAGCACTCATACAAATGAAATGACATTTTTGTGGCGCATAAGTATCTTGTTCCTCTTTGTACCAATATTCATGTGTTCAAATAAATAAATAATAAATAAATCTAGAAGTATGTGCGATTGCACTTTGAATGTCTAAAAAAATATTACAAAATCAATTATTATCAGAAGACACATGTTAAAAAAATGCTGAGTGGATAACATTGGTACGTATCGACTTGTCAGCTAGATGTATCTTCTACATTTCAGAGTTGATGCTAACTCAGAGATTCGAACTCCGTACATTTTGTTTCAAAAGACATAACTTTATTCACTTAACTACTGACCCAAGACAAGCATTCGCTTTTACAACGGGTATGAGATTTAATTCAATATGAAATGTTTGTATTCTTCAGTTATTAGTATTCATGAATGAAGTTTGATCAATCTATTTTAAATTAACTTATTTCATACTGATTGAGTAGAAGCAATCGACACAAGATGCCAATATGCCATCCAAGATTGATCAACAACCGGATAATCCAAACCATTTCAAATTTCATCTTGGACTTCTTTAGTTAGTTGTTGATAATGAAAATATTGCTGAAGTATATACTTTCAACAACACCGTGGAATTATAATGTTTGTTAATAATGATCATAACTTTCTTCGAGGTTATATGAATTGGACAGATACATAGGCTGTGCTACAGTTTGTTATAAAATGCTCATGTTTAAAGTTTCGTAGATTAAATGTCAATTTACAGCATTGTTTACTCACATATATCTGGGAAAAGTTTAACATTACGCACATTACGCAACATTACGCACAGTATGCACATATGCCAATTAGAGACTGACCAGTTGCAGTCCTAACAAATTGATGGGAAGATTCAAACAAACAATACTGAAAAAAGTTTAACATTGTTATATACAATTAAGAATGATGTAAAAACTCACATTGATGGTTAACGAACAATTTTCAAACCGGTATTTTTAAGCTGTTCTTTATTTCATTTCTATGTTAAACTCATGGTTAGGCAACCGTCAAAGACCAGAAAGCACTGGACAGATGTTTCGTCTTTGTTTGGCAACAAGAACCTAGGATCTTAAGTTCAATACATGATGGGATAGTATATGAACGTTACTGACAAGTTTCATACTGGAAAGATACATAAGTTCAATGCTTCCTGGTTTTTTTGATTATTACTTAACTAAAGATAGTCCATGATGTTAGCAACCAAATCCAATAATCTGCAAAAACCCCTTATGCTAAACATAGATAAATGTACGACAGCTAATCGTGTGAATATAGATCTGCCTAATCATAAACATAAATTGAACTATAAATCATCTTCTAAAAGTTTAAATAAAGATATTGAATGAAATCACCATCAAGTGTTTATTTGTTTAGTTTAAAGCCTATTAATTTAAACACATTTTGTATTGTTTGAAGACTCAAACAAACTCCATTACAAAAGCTAGTGGCTAACAGAACTCAATAGCTTAGTGAGTGACGAGATGGAGTTTGAGGCGAACGGGACTTGTTTCGAGTCCCGGAGTGAAAATCAACTCTGGGATACAGGGTCACCCAGCTGACGCGCCCCAGACAGGACCAAAAGCTGGTCGTGAATTCCACTGTAATCCATATTCGCCTGTTAATTTAAATTATAAAGATTTGATAAGCTTATTGATCAGCCACATATTGAGAAATAATGACAATATGAAATGTAAAACATAAAATGTTGGACGAATGAAGGACTCGATGAAAATTATCCAACATTTGTTTTAATTGCTGAACTGAATATTAGAATAAGTTTGAACGATTGCAATGTAATATTTCTGTATTGTAAACACTTGTAAAATATCATTCTTGACAATCAAATGAATGAATGTGAGAACAAGCCTGTAATATTTGAAGTTTTAATTGACCTATAAGCAAAACTTTTTTCATAGTTGAAATCATGAATCAATTGAAGCTAGGCCACCATGGAAAACCTGGAAACACTGGACGGCCAACTCGTCCTATTATGGGACTCCTCAGCATTGCACATCTACGATCCCGCCCCAAGAAATTCGAATCCAAGACCTTTCAGTCTCGCTCCAGAGTACTTAACCTCTAGACCACTGAGCCGACATCCAACTTCTTTTTCAAAACGTTGAGGTGATTCTTACACTAATTAAATATGAAAGATATTCACTTGTTTTCGTTTCCATTTATCTATCATAACTTTACATTATCAATTTGGTTTGTTTGATACTCAAAGCATTCCGTTTATTTTCATTTTCCCCCAACTCTCTTCGTTCCAATATAATGAGAATGATTTCAATGTTTGTTTTTGTGTTTGTTAGATTTTACTACTCACGTCTAAACAACATGCCAACAAAATACAAACGCAATTTAAATTATTCCATATACGAATACCAAATGTTTTTTTAATATTAATGTTGCTATACTACTGAAATCCATATTAACTTTTTCTATCGTAGATTATCTATGTATGTTAATGTATGATATTCATTGCAAAGACATACATATTTGATAATTAAACACATAACTTGATAAGCATCCCTTTTATAGTATATCATTATCTATTAGGTTTTAATCTATTTTCTGTTTTTCCTCATTACACTATTACATTATGTATATAGCTAATGGATTACGAAATGCTATTGTACTTGTGCTGATAACACGATTTCAACAGATTACAGGTGTGTATACACTACAAGCAGCAAATGAATTAGATAAAGTAAGTAAAATGAATTATAGAAGGTAATAAGCTATTGTTAATTCATATAGAATATTTTTATTTATCTATAAGAATATATATTAGAATGATTTGTATTATTTGTTAACAAGTGAACTTAAGCTCAGTTGCTAACCAGTTGATAGGTAATTAAGGTGTTCAGTTTATTTGTTTATTTTTTGTAGCCTTGTGTTATCTTACCCGTTTTAGTGAAGTAGCTTCAGGTGATAAATTTAAACTGAAGTTGACGTTTTATGTTAACTGAAAAGCTATTGAAAAACATAAAGTGGTAAATTGCGGTTTCTTTCTCGAATGAAACTCTTCGGCATAGACTGTAAAATGCTATTAGGTGAATTTTTCCCATTAAATCCTATAACCCTATTAATCTATTTAAAGACTGGGTAATAACTGACGGCCTGCTTATACATCTGAGCTACCTGTCCCTGCCATCTAGATATTTCAACAACTGATCTAATTTTCTTTGTTTTAAAACATCATTATGGCTATTAACCGCATAACATATTCAGGTGCGTTTCTGAGAAGTGTACAGCCTTTCGCTGTTAAGGTTACAAAAGGCCTAATTAGAGATATCGTGGTTGCTGCAAAAAGAATTCAAGTTATTCTGATTTCGATTGACTGGGCTGCTAACTTCTAACTGGCGATCACTCAGTATTTATCGTCAGGATCGAAGAAGAAGTTAAAAACGGAAACCTGTTGAAATACTTTGTGCTGAGAATTCAATATTGTACTAAAAATGAATAAAGCTAATCATAATAAAATAGATAAAAATGTATTACTGTTAACTTCAGAATATGAAAGGAATATATTTTTAAGTAGTATAGTACTCTAAAATTCAAATACATCAAGGCAACAAGTCTCAGTAGGACGAGACACGCATCCTGTATTCTACTGCTAGCCATATTTCATCTATTTTTATACTAACTTATATTACTATTGGCTGTATCCAGGCGATCTGCAGAGGATATGCATATGACAACTATAATAGATGGAAATCCAGACAAAATATCAACAACGGAATAATTCGATCCACTTCAAATTGAATATTTTGAAATAGTTTTCCAAAGAAATGCATTTTGAATATGTATATTTCATAAACTTATTGATCTAGGCAGACATTCAGAGAAACTAAGTGAACAGAGTGAAACAAAAGGAGATGAAGTGATGCTCAATGGAGAAGACAAGTGAGTCAAGTCATTTTGATCGAACGTGACCCGATCTTGATATTCAAACAAAATTAAATTACAGACACATAATGAATAGGACAAGCAATCAACACACATATGATCATAAAAGATGTCATGATTAGCAAGTGAATAATCAAGAAGGTCAAAATGTTGTTTGGGAAGAATGAAGAGATTGATCTTTCCAGAGCCTAGAATAACCTCTGTAGGTTCGACATTATACAGTCTATTTGAATTTATGTCATATAGTAAAACAATTTCTTCGTTTTTTTTCAACATTACTCATTATTATCATTATTTACTTCTTTTAGCAAAGATGGATCGAGAAATTACGTAATAGTCAACAAGCATTTCAAGAAAAATTAAAACGTAAACTATACGGTATTGATATGGATCAACATACAAATAAGCATAGTAAATTAATTAATGCCAAAAATAAACTACCTAGTCAAACATCAATAGCTGATGATTATTTAAGTACTAGTTTATCATTAGGTATAAAAGATCCAATTGATGAATTAAATAAATCAACTGATTTATGTAAGGGAAATATAACTGATCAAAAGAATTCAGAATTATCATTAAAAAAGTTGATCAAGTCTAAAACACTTCAGACAGAACAACAACAACAACAAGGTGATGATGATAATCCACAAGAAGATGATAACTCAGCGGACACATCACAAATAAATACTGTTGAAATGAGTTATGCAACAATAAATAATACTGTTATCGTGAATACACCGGATACAAATATGGATACTAAGAATTTGGAACCAGGTAATACCATATCTGGTAATACAGATTATTCATCTGATGAATCAATTCCAAATAACAATAAAGATAATAATAGAATAAGACCAAATGATATCTTATCATTGCATAATAAAACTCCAGATTATATTATTCGAAATAGGCATAGTCTTGATCCAAATTTTGCTACATTAAACATATCGAATACAAAATATTCTGATTCCATGGGTATAACTAATACATCTACTGTTACAATGAATTCATCAAATACACAAATACAAATTACACCAGTAACAGAGAAACAAATTGTAGCACCAATATTTTCACCTCCTAGTTTATTATTATTTGATCGTGTTACACAACATAATGAATTTCCTTTTGAAATGACAAGACAAGTACAATTTTCACCACCATTATCACCAATATTACATGCTCCATGTGCAAGTTTACCATTAGATATAACAGCACAAAGTGCATATGATCTACCAGATCGAATGTTATCACAAATGAATATTAGTGATGATTCTTCTAAATTAAATAATTTGATTAATAAAAGGTTAGTATGTCATAGGTTATCTTGTTTAACCGACTCTCATGAAGGTGAATTTTGTCTATCTAGTAGTAATATGGTGACTAGACAATGTGACAGTATAAGGAGGTTTGTTATTTGATGTTAATTCGTTAAATTGACTGACAACAAGCCAGAGACTAAGATTATACACTTCACGAAGGTATATCAATAATCTAGAGAAAGTTTATACTTTACGTGGGATAAAAACGCGCTTCATTTCGTATCACCACTAGAGATGTTTCGATTAACCGCTTGTGCGCTAGAGATAATTACATCTTTTAATCATAAAGCGATAGTGCAATATCATCCCATCTAATCCTGATATCTAATGGAAGTTTCCTCAATTATGCTAAAATCTAACTGATGAATACCAACCTGTATGAAACCTATACCATCAAGATCCTGTTCACTATCTGGTCTTCATTTATATATGTAGTATGTGTAAGCACTAGAAACGATTTAGGTGAAATGATTAATATTGCCAAACAGCAAGACAGTGGTATATCTGACTAAAGGTTAGACACGGTCTTCATGTTGTATTCAAAACAGAAGTTGTTAACAGACTATTACTGAATATTTTGATTGTATAACATCGGTTTGACATTTCAACATTGATATGATAATTCACTGTAGTTGCTTCTAATCAGCCTACACTATTAGCAATATCTATGATATTTCGTAATTTTGATAACATTTAGCGTTGAAAAACTCCAATGAACAGCTATTACTCTTAATATGTTCACAAGTTAGAATATTAAGACATTGATAAATTGGCAAACTAAGATAAGAACGAATATAGTATGATATGTTGTATATTACTTAAATGAATCAGATTACAGGATCATATGGAAAGTAATGAATGATAGATCCTGAGTTCGAATCTCGCGAGACGTGATCGTGAGTGCGCACTGCTGAGGAGTCCCACAATAAGATGAGTTGGCCGTCTGGTGGTTCCAGGTTTTCCATGGTATTCTAGCTTCAAGTGATTCATGATCTCAACTATTAAAATTAATGAGTAATTATTAATTTATTGTTATTTCAAGTTTACATTAATGAGTAAGCCACCGCTTCTGACATTTTCTAGATAGACAAAGTTAGCAATCATGAAAGCATCGGGAATCCGGAAATCCGTTCTGTCGATTTACTGATGTAATTTAATACAAACGTTGTTCATCAAATATTTTCTCTTATCTTCTGGTGGAATATCAAAATTCAAACAAGATGGTATCTTAATAGTCATGAATAAAATGTTCTATCGTAATTATTTCTACATGAGAAAGACCACATCTAAGGAATACTATCACTTCAAATTGATTTCATATAATCTGAATAAATAAATAAAGATGATAAAGATAAATAAGTCGTTCGACATGAACTAATTCTAACAGTAACGTTTCTAGCGAAGATCTGGTTTCTCTTTGAATGTATTCACCTATGGAGCTGATAGTATATGTTTATGTATAGCGTTCCAACTGTTGATTACTCAACATGAAAAACCCTATCTCACCTTGACTTCATTTAATCAGAGTTTTCAAACCAAATTAGTTTTGAAGATCCAATGGAATGACAAGATAAGAAATATTAAGAACTAAGTGATTATCTAAGATACGGAGTGACAATGTAACATCACCTAAGTTGAATTCACAAATCGATCTAGGCTAGACCACCACTGAAACCTGGAAGCATCAGACGGCCATTTCATGGGACTCCTCAGCAGTATTTATCCTCAATAACTCACGCGTAACTTGAACCCAGGACCTTTGGTCTCACTCACGGACTCTTAACCTTTAGATCACTGAGCTGGCATCCAACATTAATTTCTAACTTCAATCGATGCATGATCTTTCGCATTCTTGAATCTGAAAAAATCTTACAATGATGATGGATAAGACAACTTACTAAATAATCCGATCTTATAATCTAGATCACCTCTACAAATATTTATATTTATGCTTAATATATTTAAAGAATTCTTTGTAACTTTTTAATCTATCATATCCATATGCTCATTAGTGACTAGCTTCAAGAGTTATTTCCTGGAGTTCTAGTGAGAAGCGGTGGCCAGTGGAGTTCAACCAGGTCTATCGTGAGATAGCAACTCACTGTAGACAATGGTGGATATGTCTCTCAATTTTATGTATCGGTTAAAGTTAGACATTAACACTGTTGAACGCTGCACAGCTCAGTGGTCTAGAGGTCAAGTGCTCGCACACGAGACTGACGCGTCCTGCATTCGAATCTCGCGAGGTGGGATCGTGGATGCTCACTACTGAGTAGTCACACAATAGGACGAGTTGGTCATCCATTGCTTCCAGGTTTTGCATGGTCGTCTAACTTCAATTAATTCATGATCATACTATAATATCTATAAAACCCCTTCTGAAATTATAGTTCATATAATAATTATTATTAAAACTGGTAAATTTTCTCGTTTGAACTATCTTGATGATTAAATACGTATTACTATATATTAGAAATGTTAATTATATTTCGAAAAGAAAAGAGAAAGTAAAGAATATTTCTCCCTCTTTTCTTTTTCTTTTCATCATTTCTCTAAAAACAGATCTATTAAAGGTTATTCAGCATCACCTCCAGTGAATCGTAAAAATGATGAATCAAATTAATTAATAAATAATCCTCTCCTCTTGATATCTGATATATAAAAGTTGAAACTTTATCCACAAAAAAAAGAAAAGAAAGAAAATCATATCGAATGAGATGAATAAGAAAAAAGAGAAAAAAAGTATTTCCATGGCAACTATTAATCTATATATCCTCCATTTGTAATGTTGTACATGAAGAAGAAAAAGTTTGAAAAAAAATTAAAAAAAAACAAACAAACATGGAAACTGTCTATTTTGAAATTGGTTTCAATTATTGATTTAGTGTACAAAAATTATTATTATTATTATTATTATTATTATTACTAATATATATGAACGCTTATGCATTTTTATGTATAATTGGTTATTAGATCAATCCAATTTAATAATTAAAAAAACTGAACTTTTCTACCTCCAGATAACACATGATTACGTAATGTTTTCATTTCGTTTTGTTTGTTTGTTTGTTTGTTTACATTTATGTTTATATAAAACTGGTTATTATATTATGACAATCTTTTAAGTCATTTTATGATTGAAATCATTAGTCAATTGAAGCTAGACTACCATGGAAAACCTGGAAGCACAAGACGGTCAACTTGTCCTGATATGAGACTCCCAGGCAGTGCACATCCATGATACCGCACTCGAGCTTAGAATCTTCGGTCACTCGCATGTACACCGGCTTCGTGATTTAGAGGTTAGAATCCTGTGCGTAGGATCGTTGATGATCACTATTCATGAGTTCCATACTGGGACGAAACGTCCATCTAGTGCTTCTAGGTTTCCGATTGGTGGTCTAGCTTCAAATGACACATGATTTCCACGAACCCCCGCCCTTCTGTGTTTATGTTCATTTAGATGTTCTTTAATTGTCGTCATTTTTTGATAATGTATTATGTAATATTAACTGCTATTTTATTGTTATTATAAACATTCAATGATAAAGAGATGCATTTATTATTATACATATTAATACATACAATGCACATACACCCAATTGTACTTATATACTATTAGAGAAGAAAAGAAAAACTTTTTTTGTCTTTATTTTGGAATTTTGTTTTTTGTAAAATATTTTTCTGAAAGTAAATATGTTTATGATATGAAGGTATGTTATTCACTTCTTTTTGTTGATATTGTGTTTGTGTATATTGTTGAAATCTATTGTTTACATCAATGAAATGTTTTTATTTTGAAGACTAGGTAGGACTAGATAGTGGTTTTGTCTTTATGTAAGACTCTTTGACAATGGAACCTTCGGTTGTGATGAACTTTTAACCTCTTGATGCCTTTTGGTTCACATTTCTATATTCAATCAATAAACGACATTACTCAACCAATAATCTGATATCCTTGATGTTATTAGGAGTTCACTTTACTCGGTAAACGGAGAGAAGGTCAATGACACAGTGACACGATAAGCTATTCTAATCCGTTGTCCCAGGCCTTGCTAACTAGATTAAAAAGTCTTGATGAGGCGTAGAGAATGTATTTTATAAACACCCAGAAAATACGAAGTCACTAAGCACACAAATCAAGCTTATTTATACAATGATAGAACCGCCCTTGAAAAAGCCACAAAATAGCGTAGTAAAAAATCCGTCAATCAACGACAGTCAATGATTCCCGAGTGGAAAATTGTTATGTCTGAAGCGATTACGACTTCACCAAGTCTACAAACGGAACAAAGACCAAATAACATAGCTTTTCTGATGCATCCCAGCCCCGCTAACTAAAGAGAGAGGTAGAAGTACGAACGGGGAATAAATATATTCTACAAGCAGCCAGAAGATACAGCGACCGAACACGCACTAGTTAAACGTATATTTACAACATAAAACTGTCCTTAGAAAGCGTTACAAAATAACACACTAAAAGACACAACGGACTAATAGCGTTTAAGATTTTCTCAAGTGGGAAATACGACATGAGGGTGAAAAGATCCCTTTTGGCGCGAAAACAAGGAAATTCAAATTTTCGAAATAAAATCACAAAAATAACGTGTTTACCAAGTGAGTTCTGGGGATCTAACATCCACGACAGACATGTAAGCTGTAGATTAACTAAGCGTCTCTTGGAGCGAAAACATAAAGTTCAAATTTTCAGAATGAAGTTACAAAATTAGAACCTTTTCCAAGTGTGCTCTGGGGATCTAACATTCCCAAAACAATCCTAGAATCCATTCGCGGTAAGGCCGTCGATGCACACTGCTGAGTAGTCCCATACCAGGACAAAACATTTATATATTTATATATACAATATTTCATCCAGTTTTACGTCCTGTTTGATATTTTACATAACCATTAATATTAGTATATTCTTGTAATCTTTTACGCATACACTAATCAAAATGGACATCTTGTATGAAGCTATCCATAAATTCTAGTGTGGTATTTAATTATGAAAGATATTAGTATTCAACTGTTTTGAATTCAAAGAGCAGTCAGGTGAACTGCATGGTTCACGTGTGCATATATCTATATACATATATTTAACCTATTTTTCTTTTTCAAGCTTCCATAGTCGACTTACAATTGATAAACTTCAGTATTCATATATCTATATGTATGTTTCTTTTCGAATTATATCTCTAAGTGTTTAGCTTTTCCCATTACACTTGACAATAATATTATTCTGACATCTAAGTTAAGCATCTGTTGAATATCCTTTTGTTATGCTGCTATAGTTTCACAAATTCAGTCAGATATCAGTATGAGGATTTGTGGAGTTTGTAGTATTTTCATTTTGAATTCACGAGCCAATCTAAACTAGACTACCATTGCAAACCAGAAAGCACTAGACAGCCGTTTCATCCTAGTATGAGATTCCTTAGTAGTGTTCATTCACAATTCTGTACGCAGAACTCGAACCCATGACCTCCTATCTCATTGCGGACGTTTAACCTCTAAACCAGTCAGATATATTTATACTAGACTGTATATTGATTGTGGCTGATTGATCCAAACGAAATTAAAACTACCTATAGATTTCTCATGAACAAAGCTGATGACAAAATGTATAAGCAAAACTAGTAATAAGGAAGATTAAAAGACGCTAGAGTAAAAATTTAATAAGATGTATTATGCAATGATTGCAAAGTTGACCAAGAGATTTACACGAGTAAGGATGACCGAAACTGAAGACAAATCTTATAATAAGCCTAAAAATATCTTGTAAATGTATTTGATATAAATATAATGTAGGTGATAAAAGAATCTAGGACGTGCCTCTTATTTTATTCACAGCTCATCAGCTGAATGAACCCGCTATATCCCATAGTTAATATTCACATGAACTGAATTTATTAAAGAACTGTACGTAAACGTAAATATATTTACATCCAGTCTAGAGAACATGTATAATAAGAAATATCAAATAATTATCCACATCATTAATTCAACTAATTATATATCAATACGTGGTCATCTCTGTTATTCTCTGTTGATCCAGCTCTCTACAATACAATACCATATCCTTCTTGCATGAGAATAAAAGTAACATTTTAAATATTCATTTTCCCGTATTTTATTCCCGAGACAATTGTTTACCGAATGTAGGCGTTTTAAACAAAAAAATAAATGTACCATTATGTCTAATTATCTTATATAACAATCTCATATAAACGTATAATTTTAATAGTTGAAAGTATGAGTCAATTGAAGTTAGACCAGCAAGGAAAACCTGGAAGCATTGGACGGCAAACTCGTTTTGTTGTGAGACTCTTCAGCAGTGTGTATCCACGATCCTGCCTCTCAAGATTCGAACCTCGGACGTATTCGTCTCGCACGCGATTGCTTAACCACTAAACCCCCGAGCTGCCTGGCACTCAACGGTGTTACTGTCTTACCTCAACCAACCCACGAAATTGAGCAACCATTCACCATTGTCTTCAGTGAGTTCAACCGTATAAAATTAGTAAAATCCAAACAAACTCCCCTTCTAATATATTTGTAATATCTCATCGAGTAGAAAAATGTGATTTTCTGACGTTTCTTCTTTAGAGAATAAGAAAAAAGAAGTGGCTTACACTGAGTTACGAAACGTCAGGAAGTCTATTTTTTCTACTCATTGGGATATTACAAATATATTATATAAATTATATTCAGTTTATTAATTACTATCTCTCACGTTTACAGACACACTTTGGTTTTATTGTGCATAAATGTTATTCCCTACTTAATGGTGTGTTGAGGTCTCTTTGGTGGATATATAAACTTCTATGTTTGAAATAAATGTTTCTCATAACAGGAGCTGTTATTGATGTTCTGGACTCAACTGGCAGCTCTAGGCGCACAAAGGACCAATAAGGACGCTAGGCTGCTAATACCGGTCAAACGTCATTAGTTTAGCACAGTGCCAAGGTTGGGTAAGTCTTATTTCGATTGGTGAATAAATCATGTGATAAAAAGCCGGGCTTAAATTCACAACAAAAGTATTCAAAACCGATCAGTTCTCTAAATTCCTTTAGTATGGTAGGTCCTCGGTTCCAATCTCGCAAGGCGGGATCGTGGATGCGCACTTCTGAGGAGTTCCATAATAGGACGAAACGGAGGTCCAGTGCTTCCAGGTTTTCCATGGTTGTCTAGCTCCAATTGACTCATGATCTCAACTAAGAAATTAAAGCATAATCTGTTTTATTAAACATAATTGTATAGATAGTTTTGATAATTTATTTAATTCATATTTTTGCATTTAGTGATTGGGAATAAATAGTACTATATTCATAAGAAATAACTTCTTCTAAAGTACTTATTAATTAAAATATTGCCCGCTTAAACCTTATCAGCACTTTGTAGGAGTGTTTTGTTGTAGTTTGGCTTTGTTAATCAATCACCTTGACAACCGTTATTATATAAATCCCAACGGTGTTTGAAATCATATGGTAATAAGAAGCGGGAACTGCAGTTTGTTTGCCGATAGCACGGATAACAAAGCTACAAGCAAATTGAGCAAATTTGAAGCAGAGGGGCAAATATGTATATGCGAGCAAATATAGAGGCAAATTTATAGTCAAATCTAAAAAGGCTCAGCTAGGCAAGGCAAAAACTATTAATAGAATTCGAGTACATATTTACATGGGGAAGAAAATTATTCATCGAATGGTATTTAAGAGATTAACATTTTAGCTAGAAAAAGATATACCCGTAAGCTGTGATCTGATCGAGAGTAAACGTTTATACAGACAAGATAGGGATCATAATTCTACAAATAAATATGCAGATTGTTACAGTTCAAATAAAATAGTCTGTTAAGTTAATAAAAGGGTTTAACAAAATTTAACCATAATCGAAATACATTATAAGGAGGAGTTA